TATTTTCTTAAATTCGCCACCGATTCAGAGATCTACGACCGTATTCTTCGTTTAAAATATGAAAAAATCAGAGGCGAAAACACATACAAAGCCATTGTCTACTTAGTACGTCAACTGCACAACCCTGATTGACGACGCGGCAACACTTTTTCGCGCTTTCGACAACTTTCGTACTCAGAGAATGTAGGACAGGTCAAACTCATAGGTAAACTTGGGCCAAACAAACAAGGTTTAACTTTAGGCGGGCCGCAAAAGAAAAATCAATATTCATAGAAACGTAGATTTATTTCGAATAATACAATAATAAACATATATATATATATATATATTTATATAGAAAAGAACAAGAAAAATTTAATGTTTACGTCCTGATACTTGACATCTCTTCTCTGCTATTATCTTCCTATTCGGGAGAAAATTTGTTTGCAGTGATAACTTTCAGCGCTGACCCAAGGTGAGCATCAGTTAATACGGTTTCTAATAGGAGACTTATTACTTTCATGACTGAAAAATAACTGCTCGCACCGATAAGTGCTACCAAACATGGAAATAATTCATATGCGAATTTTCGAGTATTTTCAAACTGGCTGGTAAATATTGTAAAATTCAGGCAAGCCCACTTCAATGAATTTGCTTTCAAATTTGAGTTGCATTGAATCTCGATCACCTCCATTTGCATATGGCTAGGTACTGAGTCAATACTTATTGAGAAAAATCGAAGAAAACAAAAAAAAAAAACAAAAAAAAAATGTCTTCGAGGGAACTAAAATCATTAAACCTCGTTTCAAATTCAGTGTAAATTTGCAATTTTTCTGCGTATTTTTGATACGAACAAGTATCATCTAAACTTGATTTATTCATGCTGCACGTCGGGAAGTGCGTCAAATCTTCATTTTTAAGTTCTTTTTCCCGAAGAACTAGTTGACATTTGAATGCTTTAATTTATGTCAAACATGTTCGTAATGATATGATCTTCTCCTTGTAACGATAAATTTAAATCGTTAAGTGTTTTGTTATATCAACCAAGAAAGATAAATCTTGTATCCGAATTGGATCGTAAAACAAACTTACGTCTTGATTTTTCGTTTTTAAAAACTGGTATATTTCTTCTTTCAAATCCTGGAATTGTGTGAGAATCTTGGAGCAAGATAACCAACATACATCGGTATAGTAGGACAAACCCGAATATTCACTATCTAACTCACTTAAGAAAGCAGGAATTGACGCTGATTTAAACCCGAGATCTTATAAAATTTATACTTTTTTACATATGACAAAACATTCTCCATATTTTACTTTCGTGCATAGAACTTCTTGAGTATAATACAATGCATATGATGAATGTTTGAACCGTGAATTTCACTAAGTTATTTTCTTAGTAATGCTACGAAGCCCTGTTTTTCCCGGTCATGTGGAGCGCCATCTGTAGATACAGAATTTAATTTTGCCAAAGGTAGATTGTATTTCTGCAGAAGTCCAAAAAACACAAGTAAATATATCTTCTCCTGTGGTAGTACTAGGCATCGGTATTAGTTCCAGTAATTCCTCAAAAATGTTAAAATTTTTGTCACAAGAACGAAGAAAGAAACACTGTAATTGAGCTTTGCCACTAATGTCCGTGCTCTCGTCACAGGCAATGGAGAAACTTTCGAAACTAGATGATTTGCTTTGATCTGATCACTTAAATTCTCGGCTAAATCAGTAACTCTTTCTGCAACTGTATTCGAGACAATGAAATTGATTGAAAAGCCTTCACATTTCCAGGATAAACAATTTCTCCAGTTTCATTAGGCATTCCTTGATGAAATCACCGTCAGAAAAGGCTTCGAACGTTAGCTATCAACTCGGACAAGACGTAGCTTGCATTGTACCGCCGCTTCACTTTCTTGCAATACTTTACTAAACATGGACTGTTGCTTTTTCACTCTTAACTTGAGCTCTTTCAACTTTTCTTCTCTCATTAATCCTTCATAATTGTTATATTTCGATTTGTGTTGTTCGTAATGACGTTTAATATTATATAACTTTGGTACATTAATAGTATTATTACATATCAATCAGATTATTTTATGTTTTATTTCACAGCAAAAATATTCTAATTTCTATTTTACTTGGAATATTCTATGTTCGTCTGCGATTTTTCGTTTAATTTTACTACCACTTGGTTTTGATATAGACATACTGAATACAAAGGGCTGGAATAAACACGGTTAACGTTAAAAAGTTAACGAAAATTTATTCTTTCCACAAAAGATAAATCAAAATTCTGAAATATTTCTTCAAAAATATTCTAGCAATATCACAAAATGTCAAACGTTTAGCAAATATCAATTCAAAACAGAGAAACTAATTCTATCTCACAGCGAAATCGCTACAAATCAATCACAGCATTAAGTAAACAAACAGTTCGCTAGAACTACAGCTACTACTGAGATGAGTTGTTTGTTCTCGGCTTTTATAAGCTTTATAATTAATTTCTCGAATATACTGGAAACATCTATAAATATCTGGATTTTTTGTGGATGGCAACAGCAATTACGAGATATTTATTTATTAGGTATTATTAAATGCACGCGCTGTTCTATTTTTAAACCTTCCAACGCAGCTGTCTTTTCAAAAATCGTCTGCGTTGCTAAGGCAACATGAAGCAAATTTAATTACAATTCTAAAAAAAAAACTAAATAAATAAATAACTATGAAATCCGTAACAATATGAATTAAGTAATAATTAATAATAAGCAAGTACATGCACATGCATGCACCAATATATCGTACAAAACTATGATAGGAAAACTGAGACCATGAGTTCGGTCACATTCGGCTATCGGGGATGCGTACAAGTTCTGAGTGCACGTGTCCCCCAAAAGCCGAAGGTAGCTGAACGCAAGCTACTCACACGCATTTGTAATTTAAGTAGTGTGTGTGTCAGCTCGCTGTGAGTAATCTAACAACACTGAATAAATTATCGTTAATTACTTAGCAGTAAACATTTCATTTTTTCTTCGTCGATATGTTATTTCATTATTATATATTATTATTTGCCGATATATTGACCGGGCCGCAAAAATATTTGTTGTGGGCCGCATGCGGCCCGCGAGCCGCGAGTTTTACATGTAGGATGTCGGGCAGCAGACCTGTTTTTCATTAGCAGGGGGGGACGACATCTGGCGACCCACAACTTGCTGTCGACTCTCGTAGCGTAGAATAACCGTCCTGGCCAGACGCTTTGCGGCTACCTTCCTTGTTCACTAAATATGTGTTGAGTTAACAAAAAGGTAGGGCGCATAAGACGTCCATTCGAATGTGAACCAAATGTTGTGAATCCTTGTGCTTTCCTCAATAATAAAATTATCTTGAATCCAGCCATGTCGGCTTTGCCAAGTTTCTTCGCGCATCTATTACGTCACCACAAGTTCCAAATCATTCATATCATGTCATATATATATATATATATGTATATATGTATGCACGAATTTTTTTCCTAGAGGGGAGACAATGTCAACAAGAAGCACATGTAATTTTTCCTATTTACTTAGCAATTACAGAAAAAGGTCCAACTACTCATCATTCAACTAACTGAAGTACATAAAAACTAATTTTAACGGAAAACTTCAGCAAATGAGACTTGTACGGCTATAATGAAGTACAAACAGAACTGTGACACAGAACAACAATTGTAGTTTTGCACATTTACAGAAAATGGTACTGCACACAGTAGTACTTTTTGTGTGACAATACGATTCTCTCACAAGATGCTTTTCTTCGTCTAGTATAACAAGCGCTGAAAAATTAACTAAATATAGACTTGGCTCATGTGCTGGAAATCTGAAATTAATGTGAATAAATCCACAGCCATTATCTGTTAAGCAAAAGAAAAGAAATTCCTTGCAATCTTAGCTTTTATAAATCCACTTTTCCCTGGGGTAAATGATTCACTTATCTCAGAATGATCCTTGACCGTAATCTTTCATGATCCCCATATTCAAATTCCAGACATGTAAAACGACACTTTTCTCCATAATTGCTCAAAATAGCCATTTATCTATTGACAATAAGTTACTCATATGTAAAGCCTTCCTGTGCTCCATGATTTGTTACACCTGCGCAGTATGGGCATAGTCCTGCCGAACCAATTGCAAACAGTTCAGAAACGGTTCAGAAAGATATCTGGATGCCGATGGTGTCACGTGCCTACTGTCATTTCATTTATGTGTCAAAAAGTATAACACAATTTTCATTTAAGTGTCAAAAAATATAACACAATTTTCATTCAAGTGTCAAAAAATATAACACAATTTTCATTCAAGTGTCAAAAAATATAACACAATTTTAATTTAAGTGTAAAAAAATATAACAGTATTATAATCCCAATATGTAACTATAACTACAGCTCTCCAGAAACGTCGAGACTTATGGCCTTTCTTAATAACTTAATGCCGATACCATATTTTGACGTTTGTCTTTCTGTGTTATTGTATATTATTCTGATTCTATTTGTCTTATGTGCTTGTTCCTTCTGTGTCACGTTAATTCAAGGCTATTTCTTGAAAAGCTTCCCATACATGCGTGTATGAGCGCTGAACCTGAATGCATCCCATGAACATTTGAATTCTTACCATATTAGTGAGCTATCATAATAGCGAATTAATATTTAAATTTAGCATTTTATACCTAAAATGTAAATCTGTAAATAATTATTGATTTTATAGTAGTTTCGACAGAATTTGGGTCCCATGCTCGAGTACTGTGGTGACTACACCAATCAAGAAGAATAGAATATTCTAACCTCCTTGTCACCAATCAACCCCCAAGCCCACTAACTTAACTTGGATCTTCGTTTTCCAAGTTGTTTTTACCAAGGAGGTTAACCTTCTTGGTACCTTGGTTTTTACTTGGCAAAAACTCCTTGAATTCTAACCTCCTTGGTTTTTACTTGGATCTCCAATAGCGTATTTGTAAGCACTTTTTAATCTGACCTGTAAGTTCTGTACTAAATGTTTCAAAATTCTTTTTGCTTTATAGATATAGTAATGCATTTTTAGGTTACTATAGGTTTTAAGGTTACTATATCTATCAATAAATCTGGAACAAAACTTGTCTTTCTACCCTTCAAAACTGATATTTTTTTTTTCTTTCCTCCAGTGAGTAGAAAGCCTTCGTGAGATCTGCGCGAGTGTTTGTGGTATGTTTTGTAAACAAGCAACAGGATTGGAATAGCGATTGTTGTTTAGCTCAGGCGGTTAAAAAGTTGTAATAGTAAATGTGATCGGTAATGTTTGATTTTGGAACTCTTTTTTGGATAAGATGTTCCAGTAAGAATTTAACAAAAATTAATTAAATTTAGTATTAATTTCCCATCGTTTCATTGATTACTCTGTTTCAAAGAAGAGCTTTATTTGCAGATACTCACTGACAAGTTTCACTAGCAAGAATGGAAGAAATGGGTAAGGGTTTTTTTAAATGGTATTTTAAAAGTCTATGTTACATTTTTTAATGCATGATGTAAATTTATCAAAATAATGTAGTGTTCACTACAGATAATAATAATGTAGATCCAATGTCATATAAAAATTTCTTATATAAAGCAATATAATATACTGTGTAATTAAATATTAAAACTATATTTAAAAATTTTCTTTTAACTATATTGATTAATAATTTAATTTTTTCTCTATTATGCAACCTGAAATATTAAGACACAATAACACGCCGAACAAATACTAATTAGTGATTTTTGTTGTTTGACTTCTGAATTAAAACCTGAAATATATTTATAGAATAATGCTAGGACAACAATTTAAGATGTATTTTTATTTTTATTTGAAATGTTTTACAATATACTGATTCTTTGAAATAAAAAAAATTATCTAATTGTTGAATAAAATCATGACTTATTCTAAAACATTTCAAAATTCTAAATTTTTTCATGAGTTTGTACATTATTTCATATTGATTATTACTGTTAAAGTATTTAAGCCCATTGATTGTGTGTTAATATTTCCTATTTGAACATTTAACATGTATTTTTATTTAGAGTTTTACTCTAAAACATAATTGCTGAAATTTAAACAATGCTTGTAAATATATCATCAGATCAAAATAACAGTTTAATAATAAAAAATTTTTAAAAAATTTGCAAAATATATGTTTTAATGTTTGATGTGTAATCATCTCTTAATGGTTGTGATGTAAAAAAAGGGTCGGCACTAATATATTAACGCAACCACCTTAACACAATTCAGTGATTTTTTGCAGATGAGAAAGTAGAAGTTAATTATTGAGTTCGCACCTCTTTTTTTTTTTTTTTTTTTTTGAGGAAAGATTTCCAAATTATTATTATATAGCAAGTCAGTAAACATTATCAACATATGAAAAGAAAACTTACTTTAGGAATTTAAAGTATAAATTTTAATTATTAAAATAAATTAGAAAATAAAACTCATTCTTCTTCAAATCTTTCCATATTTTTTTTTTAATTATCCTTCTCCCGAAAGACATAGTAATCTATTTTCATTTCGTTGTTGTTCCCTTTTTTTCGTTGTTGTTTCATTCATTATTTACATTTCGTTGTTGTTCCCTTTAGAAATTCTACAAAATAAAAACAGTAAAATAAAATGCACTTACCATAATACATTCCTGAATAAATTTTTGCCAGTCACACACAATGAAGTGTGTCACACTCAAGTGAAGGTATTTTGATTCTTTTAAATGAATATTGGATATGTACAGTGTGAACAGAAAAGCCATCAAGCTTAAGCTCAATGGAATACATAGTTCTCACAATAAACCAAAATTATCATCTCACAATGAATTTAAATTTTAAACCAAAATCTACTAGAGTGTCAGCTACATACAAGAGAAGTCAAAATCTTCTCTGAGAAAACAAAATTAATTCTGCTTTCTCAGTAAAACATCACTGTAAAACAGGATTCTTTGCTTACACATATACTGAAACAATATACAGTATATGCATTAATGCAGAACATGGCATTCGCCGGCAATTATCAACAGATGAACATAAACTGTAAAAACTACACAAAAATACCACAAGTCAATCATTAATTTTTTTTAATGTCTTAATTTAGGCCTACAGTGCATAATAGTAAAATTAAACTACAATTGTCTTCTGTAATGATTAACAGAAATTTCAAATAACAAGTAATGAATGAATGTGTATTGAAGTGAATTCCATGTAATGATTAACTTTGCAGGAACTGAATTCATTGTAACAACCATAATGATGCTATCAGCAATAATGTAAAATATATGTAACACAAATTGGTTACACCTTAATGAACTTTGGAAGGAATGTATGGCTTACTTTGGATAATATCAAGTTAAAAATGAATTAAGATTTTATGTTAAATTTAAAAATGTTTTAAATATAATGCACAACTGTTTATATATTCTCTTACTATCTCTACTTTTTACTACCCCTGTAATACTATTCTTAAGCATCATTAACTTGTAAGACATAGGATGGATATACCCAAGAGGTTCCCCTAGAGGAGTGTGTTCTAAAAAGTGTTCCATTAGTCAAAAAGTTTGGGAACTGTAGCTTTAAGTAGCTGAGGCACATAGCTGATGTTAGATTGCTACATAGCTGATTTTAGATTGAAATTAATAGCCCTTCTGGGCAAGTATCCATGGCCTGCTCTATCATTGGCACTACAGGTGATTGCATTGCTAATAAAAAAACATCTTAGAAATGAAAAAAATCACATTTGGTGTATTTTTTGTCAGTTATTGGGAGTCATAAAGTCTATATGCAGTAACCTGTGCATCTCAAATAATGGATGTAAATTGACATCTGAGGGGAAGAAGAATTGATGTTTCTTGTAATCAGCATATGGATTTTTTATTCTGCCATTTTTCTACAATATATATTTCAAAAAATATTAATTATACTCTTAACATTTTCCAAAAATATTTTTAAGGATAAGATATTTTTTTTTTTTTTTTTTTTTTTTTTTTTTTAAAGAGAAAATACCTTTTCAGTACTTTTTGAGTTCAGACTCTGAAAATATGTTTAATTATTAAGTGAAATTTAATTTAGATTTATATTGCATATGATGCTGTAAAATTCTCTGCATTTCTACAAATTGTTTCATTGACAAATTTACAAATCTGTGTTTCAGATAATCAAACTTCTAAAATTCCTTCTGAAGAGGATGTTGTGTCACATGGTATTTTAACTTCTGAAAGAGAGGAGCAGAATATAGGGTAAGGTTTATTGGTCATTTCATATCTTATTATCCAAATAAACAAAGTTTTTATTAACTGGAATTTCATACTGGGTTGGGTTTGATTCCTAATTTGACATTTAAGAAACTTTCTTAATTTTTCTTCTGGATACTTCTTACTTCTAAATAAATTAAACTTCTCTTTGTGTAAATTATTTTACAAAAATTTGTTATTATATAAAATTTAAATATTCATTTGGTAATGGATGAGTGGTATCCAAGCTGTAACTTAATGCAAGCCAATTTAAAATTTAAAAAATTTTTGCGAGCGACAATTATATATCACACTTTTAATATTTCAATTAGAAATATATATAATACATAAACTATAAAATATGTGGTATAATATATTAAAGAAAAAAAAATGTATGTACTTTTATATTTCTGTTTATTAAAAATTCAATAAGATGCAAATTAAATATCAGAAAAGCATTTTTTAATGTGAAACTTAGCACTGCACATCTACTGCGAGTTTATTGTACTCTGGTCCATGTGATGGCTAAATTCATGCAGTTCATTCTGTTGTCCATTTGTTATTCTAGATATGAACTTGTTTTGACTTAACAAGTTTGTTGTTGAAAAACCACTTTTAGGATATAAAGTTGATCTATAGCAGGAGATTAACCTTTGAAAAGTTTTACTTTAGAGAAAATATTTTTTTCTCATTAACAAGTATTCAAAAGTCTATTTGTGATATTTTTGTTTGTAATTGCAGATCAAACAGAAAATCAATCAATCATTTCTAGATCAATATAATTTTTATTTAATGTATTTGCAATCTGTTGCGATATTTCAGAACTGTGAGTATTGTTACAAATTTTGTACATTTACAGATAATTTTAATGAAATTACATGTGAAACTGTTGTATTTTTCTGTATACTGTAATATGAAAATCAAGAGTGAGGATGCGGTGCTGGAAAAATATAAATACAGGAGCAAGGTCTATTTAACATTGAGTAAATGGCCATCTCGCTAAATTAACAAGATATAGCAAAGCTAGCAGCAGTTTTGGCAGGAAATCGCCAAAAGTCGCCAGACTTAACAACCATTTGGCGACATTTTGGTCTGTTTCCTGTATCTTCCTAATAGGTACTATTATGCAATTGAATAAATGTAATTGGTCACTATATTAGCTGTAATCCTAATTCGTACCTCTTATTGCTTTCCAGTAGGTTCGAGAACAGAAAGTACTAGAAATATCATGGCAGCCAGGTGAAAGCTGTATACGGTCTGAGAAAGCATTTGCTCTCAGTTGTTGTTGTTAGCTGTTAGTTCAATGCGATTTCAGAGTACTGGGTATTTCCAAGTTACTTTTGCTCTTTAGATGCCCTTTGAATCGTGTTGTGTTTAATGTTCATAGTAGCTTGCAGTGTAACTACTCATAGTACACTGTGATGGTGTAAACACCTGTATGAGTATTTCTGTGGATAGTTCCAGATCTCTGAAGTGTTTCTTTTGATAAAACAAATTTTATCAACCTATCACCAGACTTGTGTACATTCAATCTATTATGAACCTGTATGCACACAACAGTATCAATAAATGGATTTGAAATGGATAAAGCACAAATTTTATCAACCTATCACCAGATTTGTATACATTCAATCTATTACGAACCTGTATGCACACAACAGCATCAATAAATGGATTTGAAATGGATAAAGCAATAGGCTGAATTTTACAAAAATTAGAAAATCTAATTTTGAAATTATTTTTGAACTCAATAAGACTTTTAAGACTATTTAGTTTTTTTTAGTTTCTTATATTTCTCTCCAAATTTGTAAAGTGGCAAAATTTGCATTCCTTTAGTTAAAACTTGCATTCTAGAGTTACAAAGGTTACAAAAATTAATCATTATTATTCTAAAGTTTCATTCATTTCATTTGTGAAAAATACTATCCACAAATTTAATTTTGATTTAAATGCACGTATACTTCCTATTAACTTTCTTTTGCCCAGAAGTTCAGCATTTAATTTATTTGCTTTGGTTGTTATGTCTGTAAGAAAGGCTAAATCAGATAAGTTTCTAGGATCACTATATTCGTCATAAGTTACGTTGTGGGATTCTAGAAATTTTTTTAGCTCTGGAAGAAGCTCTGAAGATCATTATAGGACTTTTATCTTGCTAAGCCATCAAATTTCAGAATGTAACATTAAAGTCCCAAATTCAACATCAAATTCTTAAAACTTTTGCACGTAATGCCTGCTAATGATGGAGTAGTAGTTAAAAAAGTGAAAAGTCAGTACACCAACAGTAGAACCAGTCTTGACAGGTGTACTGTCTGTGTGCCTACCAGTTTGAAGCAACCCACCGTGATGTTAATGATGGCCAGTGGGATATTGAAAGCAATGTTACCGTGCAATGTCTAGTGTAAAATAGCGTGTCAGCTCAAAGCGCCCTGAAGAAGATTTCAACTTTTCCTTTCCCATCTTGGCACTTGGCTTCACGAGACTGAAAAGGGCCAGATGTGCAATGCAAACCGCATCAAAAGATCATATATATCTCGCAAACTATGGGTTGATTGTAATAAATAACATTTATAAATGCTAGAGTTAATGAAATATTTGTTTATTGTACTTAAATTGACATGATATTTTATTTTTATATATTTATGATGTTTTTATCTCATAGCACTGAGAATGATGAAAATGTTGCTTCTGTAGGATTTAAAATGCCTACTGTTCACCGGAAGGAAGAATTAAATAAAGAACAGAAAGTTCTAAGTGCTGATCATGTAAGTATAATGTGAAACTCAGTAATTTAACTATTTTAGGTGCTTGTGCATTAATGCAATCACCTTGATAGAAACTGTCAAATCAAAATTCACCAAACTCTGGCAATCATGTATGTAACAGTTCTGTAGTTTTAGCAAGCAACATTGCCATTAAATTTTTTGTTGTATTTATATGTTTTGTTGTATTCCAAGCTCCAACAGTTTTTTATTGCCAAATCTTGATGCATTTTGTCTTAAACTCAGTTTTAAAACATCCACTTGTTGGACTGCAATGGGAAAAAATGCATTTTTTTGCAGGAACATAGTATTTTCCCATTAAATTACTAAAGAGAACAATTGTTTTCAATTCTTCTTTAAAAAATTCACTGTGGAATTAACGCACACAGACACACTTGTACAAAAACAAAACATAAAAATTTCTTGTAAGTAGGTTTATTGATTGCTTTTTGGATTAAATGTCAGAGCTAAAACAAGGGTGAGGCTCCAACTGTGATACTTTGTCCCGCTTCACCTATGATAAGTGAGGCATTTGCTTCAAAGTGAATGGATAGGAAGGGTGCTAAACTAGTAGTGACATTTTAGGAATACATTTAAAAAATAAACTATGATAATTAATTTTCAATTCTGAAACATACCAAGAAGCACCATTTTAAAATAATAAATTTAAATCAATAAAAATGCACTATAAGAATCTCCTGTTTCCTTTAGAAATTCTTCTATGAAGGCATCCCACTCGTTTGACAAATTGCCCTCATATATTTACAATATTCAAATAAACAAACAAACATAATAAAAAGATTATCCTTTTTCATGGAAAATATTCTTGAGAAATATAAAATTTAGCTTTAAAGATGATTATATCAACAAAATATGATAAGAAATTGAGGAGAAAGGTCAATAAATTAGACTGTTAAAAATCAGTTGATAAAAAAGAAAAGAAAAAAAAAATTTTTAGAAGAAAAATTTTTACAGTAGAAATGGGAGAAATTATATATGTTTTAATCTCACTACTAAAATGATGATAGGAAAAGCTATATAAGATAGCTTCCAATTTCTATAGCACATAAAATATTAATGTCATTAGACTTAGGTGTTTTAACAGTTAGTCTAGAATGAGTTTGTCAAAGCACAGGTAGACTTTCTGACTAAGGATAGGGATGCTTACAGATATTATAAAGGGACCTGCTTCTAGCTTAGCAATTCATATCCAAATGATGCAAATGCTCCAGCTATTCCATCAAAAATACCTAGTTTTATAAACAAAGAGTTTTCAATAATTCTAGTTACTGAACTGAAATGTAATTTTTTGTAGATTATTCAATAATGCTGTTTAGTTTAATCATATCTGAATTCAAAAACTGTGTTCAAAATATATTTAATGTTGCCAAATACTATTTTTAGGGTGAAACAAAGTGGAGGAAACTTGAAATAAAAAAATACAAAACCTGTTTTGGACCTAAAAAAACTTTCACTATAAGTAAAATGAAGTGTACTTTTAGTCACTAAAAGTATCAGTATTTTCTGTACAGAAAATAAATTAAATAATTAAATAGATTTTGAATACACCATTGTCAGTTTTACTTTATGAAAAACAAGAAAAATTAAATTACAAAAAGAATAATAAATAAAATAAAAAAGCTGGAAAGTTAATGCAATAAACTTTTTATATTATTATTTTGGTGTTATTAGCTATTCATCAAAAATGAATTTTTAATGTTTTCATTTAAAACTTATAAATTATTATACTCATTAATGTTCTGAATACATTAAATTCTGATCACAAAAATTGTATAAGTGTGATCTCATGCAGCTGACATAATGTAAAAATGTAACGTAACGCTGAACGTAAAAATAAAGATACAGTTAATTTGATATATAAGGGCACATATTTACCTCTTTGCCTTTGCCTCAGGTGAAAAAATACCTAGGCATTATTTTGTTAAACATATAATTAAAGTGTAAAAATGTATGTATATAATGAATAATTTTTTACAAAGATAATTCATCATTATTTTTCTTTTGTAAAGTGTCATCACATGACACCGAGGTGGTTGCACAAATACATTAAATAGTGAGTTTTGATCTTTTAATAATGGCACATAATCATATAAATAGCAGTCTTGCATTTTTCTGCACTGTTCAGCTAAATTATTATGTCTAGCTCTATGAAAAAATAATGTTTTTTAACATTTCTTTTCATAGCCTTTAATGATAAAGTATCAAAAGGATTTAAAAGAAAGACTATTGAAATTACTTCAAGAAACTGAGGATCAGCTTGTTGATTTGGTGAGTGTGAAAAATCTATCTAAGCCTGCTATTTTCTGAGATGTATAAACATATTTTTACAATTCACAGTTAATTTCTCTCAAAATGTCCTGAAAAAATATTTATCTCTACAGGCAAATAATAAGTCCTTGAGTATTCTGCCATCTTAATCAACTACTAACCAACTACTTATCTAATCATTGCCTCCTTTCCATAATTTTGGTAAGATCAAAATTGCTATTCATTGAAAAATGTTTGTGAAAATGCAAAACCATATGAAAGAAAACAAAAGCTGAATTAAAATACATAGTAGCCATACTTAATGCCCACTCTAACAGTTTAAAAGTACAAATAATATTCATTTTAAGTAAACATAGCAAAATACCTTATAGTTCATTTTCATCCAAACATACATGATTTAGAAAAGTCCTATATACTATATGGACTTAATGGGGTTTCAGAAATTCTGGATTTGGGATTTTTCTGGATATTAGATCAATTTAAATTTAGTAACATGACATGTAAGAAATTTTAAAATTAAAAATATTAAATACTAGCTTATGAGTTTAAAGGAATCAAAATTTAAAAAAAAAAATCTATATGTTTGCTTTGTTAAACATTTCTTTCAGTGTAAGTTATTTGAGTTGCTTCATTTTTTTGTGCTAATACTTTCTCTTTAATTCTACAGGTAAACATTATTTCTTGCTCAGTTATGAAATTCCATTGTTCTTGTCCTATAATTGCCAATTTGGGCATTGCCACTAAATTGTCAATCATAGTATTTTCCTTCTCATAAGCCTGTCACTTCCTTCACTATCAGTAGTGATATTTTCTGGGTTTTGAACCATACTACTGATTTCACTATACTGGGGCATTAAAATGAAATTTATCATTAAAATTTATATGAAAGCATTAAAATTTTAATAAAGAGATTTATGTTGGAAATTGGTTCTGTGGTTTCTGGCTACAATATCTAAAAGCATTGTAGTTTATTTACTTTTGGACAGAAAATCTTTCATTTACTAAATGTGTTAAAAACCAGTGTTTTTTATCTTCCTTGGAGCTGAAAATGACATTATGCAGCTTTGATGTAAACCCAAGTATAAGCCATAGAAGTGGCAGAAGCCCAAGAAAGTTTGAAGGCACCATTCCCATCTTGACTGTCAGTGTTGCATAGCTGTGCCTGTGGCTATCATCCAGATCATTTGGTGCAACACAGTGGAATCAGCATAGCCATCATTATTATTTCTTGAGTTAACCTCTTAAGTAATAGCTGAATAAAATGCATTTTATTCTGCAGTAGTAAGCAATCACAATAAAAAACGGTCTGAAAAATTTTGTCCGCTTCAAATATAGTTAGCTTCCCTTCCTGACACTACATTCTCCCTCTGTGAAATAAGAAGCCTGTTGTGTTAAACTGCAGCCCTGTAGTATCGATACCAAAATTAACTTCTAAAGCATCACAAGCATTCGTAGAAGAGAGAATTAGATTTGTTTTTTGGTAGAATTCACTGAAGTTGAACATTTCTGTGGTTACTTCTTTTGCAGTGCTGATTGCTTTGTTGAGGAGAAGGAAAATATGCTATCAGTGGAAACTGGATGTATTTACTTCTAGCATTCGGGTTATAATGTTAGAGACCTTCATATTTCTCTTACTTTTTTCCTGTTTCAAGAAGCTATGGATTCTTTTTGTTGTGATATGATCTGTCTTAAATTGAAGACAAGCTCTTTTTATTTTTCACTTATGCTATGAGGGCGAGCTGAGCTGTATTCTTCTACAAAATGATATAAGAGGCAGTTAAAAATATATGAAAGAATTGTTTTCTAGAACAGTTATATTGCCTGGCTGTGATATTAAGTAGATTTGATTTTCAATTAGTAACTAATCACAGAGGGGCTGGTTTTCTTTCATAGTGGCTGCTGTAGCACAAAAATACCATAAAATGATCGCTGCTTTGTGATGGAGAAAACGTTATGCTATGAAAAGCATCTATTTTCGATAAATGTGAAATATTACTTTTTTCTATCATATATATATTTTTTTAAATCAGTGACACTCATAGAATACTTAAATGAATTTGAACATTATACTCAAATGGTAATTGAAATAACTTCATTATTGTCTAAGATTTCAAAATACCTGTTGTAATTTTTTTTTTTTTTTTTTTTTTTTTTTTTTTTTAAATTTCCCCAGTTGAGAAACTTGTTAATGTTGTTTTAATGTCAAAGGTAAGATTGTATAGGTGTATTTAAAAGGAAACTTCTGAATAAAGCCATTGCTAGACTTTTAAAAGTTTTAAAGTTATATATTTATAACAGAATGGAAGTGAAATAATTAAGCACAATTTTTGTTTGCATGAAGGTGAATAGTTATGTGTGTTTATTGGTAAATATTGGCATGTCACCACAAGTGGAATATTACTCCTAACCAGAAAAAGTGTATAGGTTTACAGTTTTGTTATAAACTTAATTTATTGTGTCTTTGTTTAATAATTTGTAAAATCATTGTTCATATAACTGTAAGATTCTCTTTTAGCTTGTAAACTATCATAAAGTATCACAGAAATTTAGTAAAGTATTTTGTCATGTGCATTTATTTATTTTACTAAAGTTTTTTTTTTTAATTCTTTCTCAATGTTATATATTCAATGATAAACTTATAAAGATTATGATCAAGAATACACAGGTTAACATATTCACCATTTACTATTGTGTACTGTGCAGTATTTTTTTTAAATAATTCATTTGCACATTGTAATATAAACTAACAGCAATTTCACTGTGTACATTTAAAGTAAAACCTGCCTAAAATAACCTTCATATGTTCAAGATGATTTTGTTTTTCCATAAATGTGTTTGCAAAAGATGATTATCAACAGGACTGGATTCAGATTTGACAAGATCCTAAACTATTTGAGATATGGGGTCCTTTATGAGAGATATGAGTCAATTTTTTTCTATGGGATATGGTACGATTTTTTTTCTGGGGGGGGAACCCCAAGAAAATTGGGATCCCTAAGCTATAGCTTGTGCAGCTTATGCATACAGTGGCTCCCAAAAGTGTTCGTACACTTATGATTTTCATTGAAATAGGCTTCTATCCATTAATGTAAACTTTCTGAATGAGATTTTAATAATAAGATCTATAATCTATTTGTAACAAAATTACATGAAATATTTTTTAAATATAACGAAACTTTATTTTAAAGAAATTAATAATAAAAAAATGACAAACATTTATCTCACAAAGTCTTTGTACACTGAAATATTTTTGGATAAAATCAAAATTAGAATTATCGTTTGCCGCTTTTTTTAATTTTTGCATTGTGGTGGCATTTAAAAAATTGTTTGCTTTAATTTTTTATTGTTTACTTCATAATATTCCATTTATTATTGAAAAATGGATCGCAGTCATAAAGAAATTACAAACAGCATTCGAAAATTGATCATTTTTCACCATAATAGTGATAAATCAATTCAAAATATCGCTAAATTAGTTAATTTATCTCATTCTAAAGTGCAGTATGTAACGCTTTAAAGAAGAAAATCGAATTGAAAACAAGGTAAGAAAAGGTCTACCAAGAAAGTCAACTAAACGTGATGAGAGATTTATTATTAGAAAATTTGTGAAAAACCCACGTTTGAGTGCTGTAAAAAGTTTCTGCAGAATTTAATGCAAAGTTTTCTACTTCAATTTCACCTGAAACTGTTTGACGAATTCTCAGAGAAGCTGGATTACATGGGCATTCTGCCCATAAAAAAAATTTGTTAGTGAGAAAAACAGAAAACTTAGGCTTTCATTCGCAAAATCAATGATAAATACACCCAAAACGTACTGGAATAATGGCCTACTTGCTGACAAAAGCAAATTTAACATTTTTGGTTCTGATGGTCAAATAACTGTATGGAGAAGAAAAAATGAGGAACTTAATTTTAAGAACTTAGTTGGAACAGTTAAGCATGGCAGTTGAGTTGTTCTTCTGTGGGGATGCATGGCAGCATCAGGATTAGGTAATTTGGTATTTATTGATGGCATAATTATTCATTATCTTTATTTAAATATTTTAAGAGACAATTTAAAATTATCAGCCCAAAATTTGGGTATTGGAAACTTTATTTTTAATCATGCTAATGATCCTAAGCATACGGCTCTTAACGTTCGCCTGTGGTGTCTCTATAATTGTCTAGAGGTTTTGAAAACACCACCTCAATCGCCAGATTTAAACCCCATAGAACACATTTGGGAAGAACTGGAGGTTAGAGTATGAAAACACAACATCAAAACAAAAAGCAAACTCAAAACAGTCATGATGGAAGAATGGATCAACATTGATACAGAAATATTAATTTAATGAAACATGAAAATATTGTTACGAATTTGGTATTTAAAAAGCTAATGTTAGTTCAATTATAAAGTAAATGGTTTTATTTCTCGCGCAGTGCAGCGCGTGACAAATATTAAAAGAAAGCTAAGCCGGAAAATTGAAAATACAAGAGCGCGTGCATTAAATAAATAAATAACTCTTTTTGATTTCGAGAAAGTACTGGAAAATTCTAGCGCGTGATTTTAAAATGTTATAAAAGGAGGAAAACATCTCAGTTTGTAGTAGTTGCTTAGTTTGTTGTTGTTTAGAAAACTGCTCTTGTTGATTGTAGTGAATTTGCGGATTGGCGTTCTTTAGCTGTTTTGAATTCCGTTCTATTGGACATTTGAGTAGTTAGAAGGTAACTACTGTGAGATATTGTAATACTGCACGATTATTTGAGAAAATTTAAGCATTTTTGTTGTGATAATAATAAATGTTTGTTCATTTTTCATCGGACTTGTGCATTCATTTCATAAATTCGTACGCACGCAACAATATTTACTAATATGTGAAGATTTTTTTTGAAGTGAAGACTTTTGTGAGATAAAATGTTTGTAATTTTTTTATATTAATTTCTTAAAAATAAAGTTTCGCTATATTTTAAAAATATTTCATGTAATTTTGTTACGAATAGATTATAGATCTTATTATTAAAAATCTCATTCAGAAAGTTTACATTTAATTAATGAATAGAACCCTATTTCAATGAAAATCATAAGTGTACAAACACTTTTGGGAACCACTGTAAATCCAGCACTGATTTTCATTGATGGCTTTTATAAGTTTGCATATTTTTTTCTCTCTAGGTTATTAGTGTCTCTTAAAGAAAAATACTCTAAAAGAAGTGCAGTGTATCGGTTTAATAATATCATAATGTTATTAAAATTGTAAATTAATTATAAAGTAATGAATAATATAGCAGTGAAATTAGAGAAAATGTATACCTTATAGTTAATTTTCTGAAGTACTTCTTAAGCAAATAAAATTTTAAAATATAGAAAGCAGAATATATTTTAAGGGAAAATCATTGCAAAATAACATTATTAGATGCTTAAAAAATCGTTAACTTATTAAAATATTCATCTAGTGAAATTTGTCTACATGATTTTCTCTGTTCATCAGTCATTTCTTTTCAAAACAGTTTGAACTTCATAAAATAATATACCATTTATTTGAATTATTCTACTTATTCATATTATTCTAGATTGTGACCTTATTTTAGCTTTGTTACCTAATTCAAAACTTTATTTAAGGGAATAAGATTTCTTGATCTTTTTTCTCCAGCAAATCTTCTGCTTCTTTAGACATAAAAGTTGGTTGATTAACTGATTGTAGCAAAGTGGATAGTGCCTTAGTGTCTTAGGAGAGATGTCTTTGCTGAGGACTTTTGGAAGAAAAATGGCTGTTAATAACATTACACAAGAAAACTCCTGAAAATCCAGTGCAGCTAGCCTATTTATTATGAATCAGTATGAAGACAGAAGACAAAATACTTGTGTCATATCCACTGTAGATTTGTCTGTTTGTTGTTTAACACAATTTTTATATGCCCTTTAAAATCTTCAAATTAAGGCTACTCAAGTTGAGAGTTAAAAAAGAAATGGGATTGTATTTATACTATTTGTGTACCCCTTCTTGTGTGATATCTTTAGATAGGTGTTATGAAATAACAACAGTGTACTTCAATGTCATATAACCAAGTTCTAATTTTGTTAATTTTGACAGTTCCACAAGCACAGAGATGTAATTACTGATTGAATCATAGTTGTAGCTGATAAGCAAAATTTTTTATCTGTGATTTAAGCTTTTATGAGCAGATTTCAAGATTCTGCTTGTGAAACAATTTCTAAAATGTATATCCTTTTTTAAAAGATAATTATTCCGAACAAGATGTAATTTGGATGCTATCAGCTATTTACTGCACACAAGGGAGTATTTTATCTGTCTCTCAATTTTTGGAACTAAATGCCACTGTATAGAAAAGTAGAATAATATTTGTAATAGAAATATTTTGGTGTGCTTGCTCCTAAGATTTTCCTGAGTCTTTTTAGAATAACTGAGCAGTTTTTGTTGCAAGTGATTGAATTTATTTTGATAAGTTCACCTATTCAGAATCAATTTTTACATTCAATGTATTGTTTCTAGGAAATAAAACTTTGAATCTGTTTTTGTTTTGCTGCTAAATTTTTTTAACTGTTCTCAGAAATGCTTATCATCTGAGCTTTTCAACAATTGAAAATATGCATATTTTTAATTTTATAAGTAAATTGTGAAATATAAATATAGTGCTGTGTTGTAAATTAATAACTATGCAAAAATTTCTGAAAAGCTATTATTATTTTTTTTTTTAAATTTTTTATCAATTGCCCACTGATAAAGTAAAAATGTAGAATCACTTAAATGTTTTTCAACGTTTCTTTCTTTTAGTCATCTGCAACTTGAAGCTGTTTCTTATTTTTTAAATTTCTGATGTGATTGCATAATTGTTGCATTTTTCTCTTTTTTCTAAAATTTTATTTTTTAACATTCTACATCCAAATACTACATCCAGCAAAATCCTGAATTTGTACAGAAATTTCTCCCACAATTTCTTCTGTTACTGGACAATTCGACAGCCACCTATTTTAAAGTTGAATTTAAGGCAAAAAGTATTCCAATTTTTCTGCAAAAACTATTGAAATACAGTGAAAAGAAAGTATACAAAAATAGTGACATTACTAGTTAAAACTGAAGAACTTTTATGCAGATAATAACTAAGTTTGAAAATAATTATGCATGTATAATCCATTGCATAAATTTGCTAAGTATACAACAAGTGCACAATCTGCATAGCATCATATTTTTTGATAATCCTTTTCTTAAATATTCTTCTTACAAAATCTGTTTGTTTTGTGTTAATTTTTAGTCAATACATTGCTTGTGATGCATGCATGTTAATACACCAATACCCTTTTAATTATATTTTGATACTTGTGTGTAAAGCAAATGATAAATGATTTATGTGTTCTCATCTGTCAGTACTATTGCGAGATCAAAAGTTGCGAGAAAGCTTTAAAATCATAGGCAAAACATAAATGATGCAAAAAAAAGGGGGGGTTGATATGTCAAATTGCACCATGGTCGACATGCTCAAATTTTCCCATGTCATTAGAGAAGTTTCACAGATTTAGTCCAAATCTGATCAATAAAAGAGATAGAAGCTTTTTTACTAAATATAAAAATAAAGTTATATGAAATTTAATTTTGAAAACTAAACAATTCACTAGATGTTAAAACTAAGTCATTCTTCTGCCACATCAGTATCTTCCAAGAAACAATTGAGTGATTTCTTTTTTAAGTACCTAATTATTATTCAAGATGGATTCTTAGAAATCTGCATTTGAAATCATGAACAGCTAGATTTGAAAACTTCAAATCAGCCATAACTATAGTTTTACATATTCAGAAATTGGCCACTGATAAAGTATAGCACTTTGGTTTTTAATTTAGTTAAGGGCTGCTCTATTTGACACATTTCTTACCTTTAAGTATAAAAGTCATTTTGTGCCTGCCTTATGTTTTTCTGAATGTAGCACTTTTTTATTTTATGAACATTTTAAAGGACGGTCAATAAAACATTTTGATTTTAATTGGATTATTGACCTTAATTATGTTACTACTGCAAATTAATGATATTTAAAGTAAAAGGCTATATATATACATCATTCAAAATCATGATATATATGTATATGTGTCATGATTTTGAATTTGCAGTCGAACACTGGAACTCTTAATAGCTTTCAATATTCGTCATGGCTGTGGTTAAGGCATACAGATGAAGATAGCGACTTGGATTTCGATAAATCACTAATCTTTATTCTCATACATATCCAATTAAGTTGGCAGACACATTGGTTTTTTAATAATAAGACATAGGCATTTGAGAAGCGACACTAGGATGACAGAGCACAGTTAGGGAAGGGAAGAATGATGCATTTAACTGGCCAGCGCTATTTATACTAAATCTGAGGTATAAGTAGAGCTAATCTGTGGTTTGTTAATTTGAGGTTGTTACATAACATAGAAGATTCTTAAATTTGGGAGAACAGATGAATTTAGGAGGAGATCACCAAATCTAGAATGTTAATTTTGAAGTCATTAGTTATTTTTAAAACAGCTATCATATTTTGTTATATCTTGCATATGTAGTGAAGTACGGAATAAATATGACCTATTCTTGTAACATTAAAAATCATAAATGACTATCGTGATGCCACTTGAACAGTGGTTTGTTATATTACAAGCTGCTCTGATAGGAAATGAAAAAAAAAATCATGTGAATAATAAGAAATGAAAAAATTAATTATTATAACATAAGACTATGATGAGTCATTAAAAATTATTGTATGACAGTTGTCAAATCAAGGCTACTGTGATAAATTACGCTATACTGAAAAAGATTAAAGTGACTGGTTTAGAAATAATTAATTATTGTTTTCTGTGAAAATGGATTTTTTTTCTCTTCTTTAAAAGAAGTATAGTCTTTGCTTTTATAGTAAGAACTAGAAATGCATTTCATTCTAGACTTGACATGTTCAAGTCAAAAAATGTTTTTGTCTGTTATTTATATTTTTAAATGTTTATGATTGATATTTTGAATACTTAATTTAATACTTGTCTGAATTTGGTTAGAAAATGATTTTTCTTAAGAATGATGTTTTGATTATGAATATCAATACTATTTTCAGAAATAGTGTCACTTTGAAAAATCTTTGAATCCTTTCTGAATGAAATATTATTAGTTAACTACAGTTCTATAAGGTTCATTATGTAGTACAAAAATTGAAAATATCTTATATTTTATATTACTCTCATTAAGTTATTTGTATTTTTAGAAACGTACTATTCAAGCTCAAGAAGATGAAAATGCACACTTTGCTAAAAGAGGTTATGAGATTCAAAATGATTTGAAACAACTAGAAGAAAGGTTGAAAAAAATTTATTCTAAATATGATGAGCAAGTTGAAATTGGACAGAATATGCATACGAAATGTGGAGACATTAAAGAAAAGTTTCGAGTAATGGAAGAAACTTGGCATACAGAATTAGACAGAGGTATGCATTTTGTAATTTAATTTTTTTTATTAATTTTTAGTTAATTTACGCTTATATTCACAATATACTCTGATCAAATTTCGCATAAGCTCATTTTTAACATACTGTGTGGGCTAGTACTTCCTTTTTTATGAAATTTCAATTTTTCATTATTATTTTATAATGAAAAAATACCAGAAAAATTTATATTTCTCCCTCGTAAATGTCTTTTTTTTTTTTTAAATCGTTTTATGTTAGTAAAAATTTATAATGGTTTTGTTTTGAGTTTGAGCTGTTCTGTTTTAATAGGAAGATTTCAACTAATGTTTCTCTCAACCCTAATTTGCTAATCATGTTGGCAGTACAGCTTCATCTTTCCTTATGAAAATTGTTTCTGGGGAAGAGTAGAATATGCAAACATACATTAAAGAATGAATGAAGGAAATAACCTATTTTTTAACAAGAGTTTCTCTGCATTAGCAGAGTTCTTCAAAGGCATTTCATGGTAATAAAAAGTTATAAAACTGTTTGTGTAGTTAGACAGATATCTTCGTTACAAGGACTAAAATGCATATTTTAATATTTGTGTTATCATTATATTCTTTCAGTTCTTTTTTTTTTAACAATCAGATGAAAGTAATAAGGAATATCTTGTATTTCAGTACCTGCCATGTATTACTGGTTATAAACTCAGCCTCTTATTACATTCGAATTTCCAGGAACAAAAACAGATCTTTATTAATCTATAGAAAAACTGCCATTTATAATTAATTTGTAATATTTTGGGTTCAGTTAATTGTATTTCATTTAACACAGCATTTTACCAGTATTAATTACCCACGTTAAGCCATGATTGTCGTATTATGGGTAATTAAGATATAACTGATTAATTTGAATTTTTTCTTTTGTTTAAGATGTTCTAATATTTTTAAGTAAATCATTTTTATTTGTGTGCATGTATAATATTTGTATCAAAGATTTTTAAACACAGATAGAATGCCAACATTGCCTTTGTTAGATAAATATTAGAATTTAAAATGAATTCCACGTTCTTCCGTATTTTAAAATCAAAATCATTCTGTATAATTAACTTCCATTTCACTGCTCTTATGAAATTCTATAAATATAAAAGCTACACTGACCTTTTTTTCTTTATATATATAATTTATGCTTAATACAGCAGCAACTTCTGAAAAAATAGCTTTAATATCTTTGAAAAAATTGTTTTTATTTTTGTAATTAATAATTTTAAAAAAATCTTTAAGTTTTCCAGATGTTAAATCTGCTATCTTATGTGTAGATGAAATTGAATCAGACACAAACATTAACTGTTTTAGGACACTGATTTTAAATATAAATTTTTAAAATTTTATAATATGATCAGCTTCATATAATACTATATATATATATATATATATATATATATATATGAATATTACAGCTTCAACATAATGTAATCTGTATAATATTATATTACATGATCTGCAAGCCAAAATTTTCTTATGAATTATATAGAAGTTGAACATTCTTCCTTTCTTTTAAAAATGCTCTTTTTCTGAAAACAGCAGCATGTAAATCAAGATATCTATATATTAAACCACGATTTCATACCTCAAAGCTACAAACTTTCTACACATGCGTCGCGTTGACGCATGCGTATAGGCCATAGGTGGGGAACCTGCGGCCTCCGCGAGGTTCTCGTGCGGCCCTTTGCCACCTAGTAGAAAATGGTAGAGTTCATTTCAGACAACTATTGTACATCAACGCCATGACAGTTGCGCGAAAAATCCCGCCAAAGACAGTCATATTGTAACATGACGTCAGAATACTAGTCTGAAACGGACTCTAACACGCATGAGCGAGGCTCTGGCCCACAGCTAGCAGCGCCAACTACCTTGTCTAAGAAGTAAACAAAACTCGGTTTCAGATCTCCCATTTGAGTGTCACACCTTGCTTTGGCTTCTCTGACTCGCATCTCTCAACGCTTCCCTGTTGCGATCTTCAGCTAACTGTAGTTAACAGTGCGTGCTTATAACAGGTACACGGTTTTATTGTATTTCTAGAAAGTACACACTTTGTTAAAGATATTATTTGATATTCGTTTTTTTATCCATCATGTCAAATAGTAAGAGAAGAAAATTAGGTGATGAAAACAGAACATTTAATGTAGAATGGGAGTTAGATTTTTTCTTTACTGCTGAGAAAGATAAAATGATGTGTTTGTTGTGCAATACAGTTTTAAATACTTTAAAAAAAGCGAATGCAAATAAACACTATTTGACTCATAAAGAACATAAATATTTCGCTTTAGAAGGTGAATCACGAAAAGCTGCACTTCAAAAGTTGAAAAATGAGAAGCATCATCAGCAGGCATCTTTTAGTGCCTTTGTAAATCAAAATTCCGCTGCAGTTGCTGTTACGTATAAAATAGCACATATACTTGAAAAAGGGGCAAACCATTTAGTGACATTGAAATAATTAAAGAATGTATTGTTGAAGCAGTGAGTATGTTAGATCCAAGAAATGTCGACAAATACAAACAATTACCTCTTTCAAGAAGAACTGTAACAGATCGACAGCACGAATTAGCGCAAAATGTAACAGAGCAACTTCATGCAATTATACAAAATGAAGATGTTTATTTTTCAATTGCTTTAGATGAAAGCACTGATAAAACAGATTCGGCACAAGTTTTATATTTTATTCGTGCTATAACTAAAGATTTTCAATGTTACGAAGAACTACTTGCGTTGGGTACACTAACTGGAAGAACTCGCGGAGCCGATATTTTCGAAAACTTCAAAGAAGTATGTAATAAATTACAATTGAATGTCAGTAATTTAGTCAGTGTCTGCACCGATGGCGCACCTTCCATGAGAGGCAAAAAAGAAGGATTCGTTGCTTTGTTAAAAAAGGAAAACTTAAACTTGAAAAAATTGATATCATTTCACTGCATTTTGCATCAGCAAAATCTTTGCGCAAAATCTACCATTTTGCAAGACACTCTGGATAGAACCATTGCCATTGTCAACTATATTCGCGTAAATAGAATGCGTCATCGTGAATTTCGGCAGATGCTCTCTTTAGATGAGGAAACGTATAGTGTTGACCTGCCATACTACTGCAAGGTTCGCTGGCTATCAACAGGTCAGTTTTTGATAAAAGTTTTGTCTTTACGACGACAAATTTTAAACTTTTATAAAGAACAAGGAAAACAATGTGATCTATCAGATGAAGTATTTCTCAGAAACCTTGCATTTTTGTCTGATATGATGACAAAACAAAACAATTTAAATATTTGCCTGCAAGGTGAAACGAGGTATATTTATGAAATGTGGCAAAAGATCCAAGCGTTTAGAAAAAAATTATCATTTTTCAAAACATTGCTTTGTCGATCGGAAATATCTGCACATCCCGGAGCTAGCTAAAATGTTAAATGAGCAGAGCTGTGAAAATAAAATATTCGATGAATATGTAGGTGTCTTGGATTGTTTAATAAAGTAAAAGTACCAAAAGTATTAGTTGATAAAAAATAAACAAAGTAACAAATTTTATTATATACAGATGAAAGCCACACTCAAATACTACTTTTCTACATAGTCACCATACAAATTAAGGCATTTATCGTAGCGATGTACGAGCTTGGAAATTCCTTCGTCGAAAAATTCGGCCGCCTGCGCCTTCAACCACTTCGTTACCTCTTCTTGCAGCTGTGCGTCGTCATCAAAACGCTGCATAGCCAGCCACTTCTTCATTGCTGGGAATAGGTGGAAGTCGCTCGGTGCCAGGTCGGGACTGTACGGCGGATGAGGAAACAACTCCCACTTAAAAGATTCAAGAACTTTACGAGTGACATTTGCCGTGTGGGGGCCGGGCGTTGTCGTGAATCAACAAGATCTTAGAGCTCAACATTCCTCTGCGCTTGTTTTGAATTGCTCTTTCTGAGTTTTTGGAGAGTTTGGCAATACCTTTGAGAGTTTATTGTAGTGCCTCTTTCCAGGAAGTCCACCAAAATTACACCTTTTCTGTCCCAAAAAACAGTCGCCATCATCTTCCTTGCCGACATTGTTTGCATGCATTTCTTGGGTTTTTGGGGAGAACTTGTGTGCCCCCACTGCATTGATTGCAATTTCGTTTCACAGTTCACATGTTTCACCCATGTTTCGTCACCAGTAACGATGCGATCGAGTAAAGAGTCACCATCCTTATGGTAAGCGTCCAAAAAGTTCAACGCTGCAGCCATTCGCTGATTTTTGTGGTCCTCTGTCAAGATTTTTGGAATCCATCTTGCACAAAACTTGTGGTAACCAAGCTTTTCGCTGATGATTTCGTGCAACAAACTTCGCGAAATTTGTGGAAAACTCAAAGAAAGTTCCGTTATTGTGAAATTTCGATTTTCACGGACTTTAGCATCGACTTTTTCGAGAAGTTCGGCGGTCACTATGCTGGGTCTCCCACTTCGATCTTCGTCGTGAACATTGGTTCGGCCATTTTGAAATCTTATGACCCACTGACGCACTCCACCTTCAGTGATAATGTTGTCCCCATACACTTCACGAAGCTGCCGATAGATTTCTATCGGTTTACAGTTTTTTGCAGTCAGAAACCTTATTACTGAGCGCACCTCGCAGCTCGCGGGATTTTCAATTAACGCAGACATTTCAAACCGTCACAGTATCTGAACGGAGCACAGCACGAACCTCTCACTAGCACGGCTAGATGCAGACTGAGCTGCGCAACGCTCTGACCCCAAGATGGCCGCGCTAGCCCCGCCCCTAGCGGACACAGACGGAAACGTAATCTACTTCCTGGATGGCCCTCGAATATTTATTGACGAGCACACTCCTTATGAATGGCATTTAACCACATTTAATAGATAATCGAGGGCAGAACTACAAATGGTTAATTGATTTAGGGGAAGATAGTATCATCAAATCCCTTTTTAACGCTAAAAAGGATCCCATAGAAATCTGAAAAATGCTGTTGAATATCCATGGCTTCGAGAACATGCTTGCCGTTTACTTTCCTGCTTCGGAAGTACCTACTGTTGCGAGACAACATTTTCTCTCATGTCAAAAATAAAAACAAATTTAAGAACGCAAATTACAGATGCACATTTAGAGGATCATTAAAGCTGTGTGTTACGAAGCTTGATCCAAATATACAATTACTGTCAAACAAAAACAAAGCCAAATAAGTCACTAACTTAGTGAATAAAAAAAAAATTATTTTATTGTAATTTTTTATATTATTTTATATGTATATTTATTTAAAATTTTGTAGTATTATATTTTATTTTTTTCTATATAATGCAATAAATTGTTAAAATCTATAGAAAAACTATAATAATTTCACAAAAGTCACTTTCTTAGGTCAATCAGCTTATGCGGCCTCTCTTATTGCTGCCTAATTTAAATGTGGCCTCTAATGGTAAAAAGGTTCCCCACCTCTGGTATAGGCGATTACGTGCGTGTGTAAGACCTTTTACGGTTGCGAATATGCTTGTGCGCATGCTCATAAAACGTTTATGCATGCGTGTTTAATGTATAACGAACAGTGTAAGCTAAGCTAAAATTATCTAATTCAGTTAAATGTTGCAGATTGTGTTGTTCCTTAATCTTTGAATTGGATCCGGCTTATTATTAACTGTTTTTTGCAGACTGTTACAGCAATTTTATAAAAGTAAGCTGAAACTTTCGATTATATCAAATAAAATTTCTGATATATATTTGTTAATATGTAAAGGATCTAAAGTGAAAGTATGTTTCGAAATCCGAAATCTGTTTATCAATTTCACGCTGCTCGGCGGGGAGAACGCAGTGGCACGCAATGAATTGGAAGTTGATCTGTCAGCACTATCCTTATCTTCAGGGCAGATGTTTTTATTTTATTTGGCTTATAATTCCTTATCAAATGTAGTATTTCATCTCGATGTGCTCCGCCTTTGATATGATTTAAAACAAGTTCCTCATCATTATAATTCGCTTCCGATAGTGAAGAAAGTGACAGAGGTTATTGAAAACGAAAAAAATTTCGATTGACAAATTAGTCGGTTATTCTCGACACAGCAATTATAGGACTTGAACAGCGGAACTTTGTAACTAAACAAGAAATTATTGTGTTTAATAGATTAAAGAGAAAGTATTATCACATGAAATGAAGCAACTTAAACAACTTACATTGAAAAAATGTTTAATAAAGTAAACAAATAAATATAAGCTTTTTTTTTGTAAATTTTGATACCCTTTAGATATAATTGTTCCTTATTTCATAAATTACGGTTCATATTTTTTTTTAATTTCTGCATTCCATCTTACCAGATTTAAATTGATGATCTATAATTCGGAAAAATCGATAATCTGGAATCGCTGAAGTCCCGACGAGTCCAGATTAACGACTTTGGACTGTATATGTAAAATTATTAATTGTAGCACCAAATACAAGTTGATTACTGAAAAATCTTTAAATTATCCAATTATACAGAGACTTCCATAGTGTTTAAATATAAAATACTTTTATCCAGCTCTTATTTTTTAATCATTTTATTTATTTTGGATCATTGCATTAGCTACTGTACATAAATTTTGTAAACTCTGTTACTTGAAAGAAGTATTTCTCACAAGAGAATAAAATGAAGCTTTAATATATTTTTCATATTAATTATTGATTTTCTGTTTCTTCAAAGAGCATTTCTATTATTTATACATTGACAGATATGTAACTACATAAAAAGTGGATTGTTAAAATTGTTTCTTTTAATAATTATTGTTATTATTTCCAGATACAATTTATCAAAAGAAACTTGAAGACATTGCATTTGAAGTCATGCAACTCACTACTTTGAAAGCTGAAGCATTCACTGATGCAAAAAGCTTAAAGCGAGCAGTGGAGAAAACATCAAAAAATAAAGAAAATCTTGAACTTCAGAAAATGAGACAGGGAATTAAGCATTTATAAAAAATTTATTGCCTTAAGTTGCATGCATTCATAACTTAAAATATTTATGTAACTAGCAGGCAAGCCTGTGAGATCAGTGGGCTACAGCCAAAGCAATATTTGTAGGTTCTATTCGATAAAAAATTTTAGTCTGCTTCTGTTTAGAAATAATGGATGGCAAATTTAAAATTGCACCGTGTATGCTCTTCAACACAGCATGCCAAATAACAGTTAATTAATATCTTGGCTGGTTAAATTCATACAAAGATGAGAAAGATGTTCAAAATGGCTTCTCACAAATTTTTTGAATACAGAGGTACCTCTCTGAAAACTCAGTTCCTCGCCATTCCAGAAGAAATAATGTTACAAACAGACAGATGTGTGCAAATTTTAATAGTATTAATTACATAAATATTTACTACATGAATAAGTTTAGTTTGCACAGTACTGAAATCATGTGTTTTCATATGAAATTAGAAACAGATCAGAGCATTGACATATCAGCAGTCTTTATTCAAGATAAATCTATAAACATTATTTTGGTTAATGCCTATTAGTGTAATTTGGTATTTGTGGATAACGTTAAGTAAATTTTATCAATCGGCTAGCTATGATTTGTCAATGCAACTGTAACAGGGTTCGTAGCGGTCCTTACAAGTGCTTATAAGTCCTTATATTTGAAAATAAAATATAAAGGCCCTTATAGGTGCTACTTTTTTTAAAGCCCTTATTTTTTGTTTTTATTGTTAGTGCTTATTTTTTGCTTTTAGTGCTTTTTTTTTGCTTTTAGTGCTTTTTTTTAATCCTTTGTTTTTAATGAATGCACATTTTTTCCTCGTACCAAAGCCGAAACTAAATAAACAACTTTTCTTTCTTATATGCAACGTCAGATGGTGAATCATACTCCCGAAAATTGCTTTCCCCCCCCCTTCCTCTGCATTAACATAACCTATAGTACGCACGAGAGTACAGACAGGTGCACGTCGTTCTATTGGCCAAAGAATTGCGAAAACGTAGAAAATTCCGGTACATTCGGTATTCTTTTCCTCCCTCCCAAATACTACACACGTTTGAATTTCTATCAAAATTTTAATAATTTGCATTCTCGTTCCGCGTGGTCAGTTCATATTCGGTGTTATTATGATCTTTATGCTTATATTATGAGCATATGTATGAATATTTATAATCATATAGTTGCAGTAACTGCTGAAGTATAAACTTCCAAAAATGGGTGTTATTACACAGATTATCTTTCTAAGGAATAATATTCGGAATGGCTTCTTAAATAAAAGGAAAGTAATCGAATAGTCAAAATAATTTCATTTTCTTTGCCAATACATTATACAGTGCAGAGGTTGGGAGTTTCTTTGCAAAATCTCTAATATTGAAGCAGTGGACTTTTTTTTGTCACTGTCCAATCTGGATTGTATAGGACTAAAAGTTTTTGCGGTTTACCCAACCCAAGCGAAGATTGATTCTATTCCAGAAATTTAATACAGTCTGTTGAAAATTAGAATCAGAAACACCCCAGATTAGTAAGTCTCTTTCTTTTCCTTTATTTAGTTCTTTTTTCTCCGAATACCGGCAGGTGTTGATTCCGATTGCGTAATATCACATATGGAAGAATTACGCCGCACGTATTGCGCAATAACGTTTGCAGTATTTGCATTCATAATTAATTTTGATGTTCAGTCTGAGATTTGTTTATGAACACTTAAAAGAGTTTTACTCTGCTTTCTAAGCAGAATATTTCTCAGTTCCGTTGGTTTTTATATGATGCACATATCGAAATGTCAAAATCATTTATTTAGCCTAAATTTAAATCTAAAGAACAGCTACAATCTCCCCCACTCCTCTTTTTCCAGATACTATCTGGAATATTCGGAAATTTCCGAGTATGCGGGATAGTTAAGCTTTTACTGCTAAAGGATGACTGAATGAAGTAATTTCCGTCTTCTGATTTCAGAAATGTGCCTCTTTTTTTACTTAAATTACTTTGCTTGGGATATATGTTAAGGGAAAACTGTTATGCAATGAAAATTTAGAAAATGTTCAGAATTTTGATTTAAGTTAAAATTTTTAAATATTAATATGAGTGGAAAAATAAATTGTATTTATTATTAGGTGCCAAACGAATACAATTAATATGGCTTATTATTATTTATTTTCTATATTTTCAACTGAAATATCATCATTAAATTTTTTGTAATATAGTTTAGTTCTGCATAGTTTTTTTTTCTCTCATTGTAAACTAATTCTGTAAATTAAACTGTCATTTAAAATTAAAAAAAAAAGTTAATTGTTTTCCATTGTTGAAGTAATGCTCATTCTCTTAATAAATATTGCATTGCTCATATTTTAAATTACGAGTCTAATTTTTCTTTTAAGGTTTTGCAGTTATGTATAATGTAATTAGACAGGTGCTTATTTTTTCCTTAAAATGTGCTTGAAAAGTGCTCATAGGTGCTTATTTTTTTAACTAAAACGTGGCTATGAACCCTGTGTAATCTTATTTCCTTTACATTCCCTTATCTTCCAAGCTCATAATATTTTTATTAGATCATATGATCATGATGTAAAGTTAATGAAATCAATAACCCTACTCATGGAAGTGAAAATAATTCAGTATGGCTTAAATCCTAGTATTGTGATACCTCCAAAAAATAATGTTTTAGCTTGTGAATAATTCTTACATTTATCTCTAAATTATGTAATGAGGTAAGGAAACAACTTGGCAAAAAGGACTGAAAATTTAAATTATTCATAATTTCATTATATGTGTAGTTATTTGCTTTTCTGCATATTGGACACTCGATCAAAATAAGCAAATTAATGCAAATAAGGTTTGCAAAGGGTTAGTAAATAGTGTTAGTTAGTTAATAATATTGACTAGTAGTTATAATATCTAACTAAACCTGAAAATTAAATTAATATAACCTGAAATAGTCTTTTTGAAACTTTATACTACTAATTAATTATTTTATTTGTGATTGCAGTGAAGGGTTGTTATAGAGTTAATTAAAAAAATTATCTTATTTTTAATTTTGTTTTATCTCTGCAGGATGTTTTGATTTCTCGACTGGAAAATGATAAATTTAATCTAGAAGATAAAATCAATTTGTACAAAGCACAAAGAGCTATTAAAAAAGAAGAAGCTTTGGATTTGAGGAAAGAACTCATTGCAGCAAATGCTGAAATTCAGGTATCAGTATTTTAGCAGCAAATATTAAATTTCATAGTACTAGATTATTCTGCTTTTAAATGAAATAAAATATTTTCTGTAATTTTTTTAGATTTATTTTGATATACCTTTTCTATCCTCATCTTGTTTTTAAATCAAATATACAAATTCTTATTAATTTTATATTTTAGTCTGCATATTAATATTAGCTGAAAATGTAAAATTTCAATGCAGAATTCAAATATTTTAATGTGTCTTTTTGATCTATCTGTAATTAAGCATCTTGATTGCTATTTAATTCATAAATATGTGGTGATCGAAAATGATTTCCATTCAACATTTAACTTTTTTTAAATTCTTTTTGTTAGATGTTTGAACTTAGATCTATACGTGAATGGGAAACTCAGCAGATGCTATATAAAAAGAAGACATTCTTTTAGACAGATGCAGTATAAAAAATGAATTAATTTACATCTATATAAAGTTAAAATACAAAAAAATAAAAGTATATATATTGATAAAAATCTTACAATGCATTTATTCTTCAATAATTATTCCATGATAATGAATTTTTTTTAAATAATTGTATTAAATAACTCTATATGTTTTGTTTTGTTTTTTAATTTACAATCTGATTTATGCTTTGAGTTACCAATTAAACCCTTGAGTAAGATTTTTTTTTAATCTGAATGAAGAAAGAAAGTTAGGTTTGCAGTTAAATTCATGTGATTTTTTTAATGCACTTTTCTTTGATTGCCTGCATAAAAAGTTTACTGCATATATTTCCCAAATTGGAGATCTCATGACAGATTTAACATCTTACAGAAGTGTTGCCAAGATAAACATTTTGCCTTACAACAAATGCAAAGTTTTCTTAGTGAAAACGAAAACAATAATATCTGCTTTCATAGGTGGTTAAAATAAAAAATAAAAAAAAAAAAGATTGGGCTTTGAAACATTATTTTTCTTTTAACAGATGCTATCATCTCAACTTCCCCAGATGGCAAAATAATAATAATAGTAATACTTAGAAGTTTCAATTTTGTCTTAGGTAGATCATATTAGAGATTGCTTAAAATATCTTTTAGCTAAAAGTATAGGCCTTTTGTTTTATTTCTTATCTTTCAATTTTATGCTTCTAACTCAAATTAGGCAAGAAGAGAAACACACTAATGTGACAATCAAAATCGTAAAAATAAGCTTGTATTTAGCGTAAGTATATTGAAACACTCAATTGATTTCGAGGGCAGCTAAAGGTCCCACCTCATCAGGAGAAAGAAATACCTAGAAAGAAGAAAAATAAAGGGGGAAAGAGTCTCAGAAACATGTGGTCCTTATCAGCACTGCACGCGGTTATAATCAGATTTTTAATCAGAGTTACACTGGATGCCTACTTTTACTGAGCCAGGCTATCTGATCAAACATGCAACACAAAGGACAAGAAAAATTAGCGAAGATAAAAATAGGGAGTGAGGGGCAACTGCACCTTCATGCGTAAAATCTGAACTTCGAATAATGGAAAAGCAACCACTGAACGGATTTTTATACCCTCTGGTCGTACCCCAACGTGAGGAGGTAACGCCATCTATCGACAAAAATAACTGAATTAAGATAGTAGAATTTTAAAGGCATTAGGAAGGACTGGATTGACTTCAAATCATTAACTAAACCTGCTAATCTTTGTGAATATGAAAAGCCTCAAGAAATCCAATTCACCTATGGAAGAAGCCTTTTGGATAATTTTTGCAGACCCAAAGTCAAATTATGGTTAAATGTCCAACTATGATGCGCTATTGAAAACTTGTTAATTTCGCCTTTTCTGACATACGATTCATGTTCCTTGATACGAAACTTCAATGCTCTTTTTGTTTGGCTAATATATCTTAACCACACTGACACGATTACTATAATCCCCAAGATTCAAGACAGAAACGCAATCTTTAGAATGAAAGGGTGAATTTTATTATAGGTGAAAAACCAATTTGAAAATTGAATTTCTGGAGAATCCGTGCAATTTTATAGCTAACAGAAGGATAAAATGGAAGCACGACAAGGTCATTAATATTATTTCTAACAGTGGAATGTCCTCTTTGATGGGAATCTGAAAATTTTTAACGGCTTTATCAATAATCACGGGAGAAAATCCACGGTCAATCGCAACTGCTCTCAAATAATTAAGTTCATTGATAAAAAAAGATTCAGAGGAACAAACTTTAAGCGTGCGAAATACATAATAGTAAAAAGAAGCCATTTTTTGCTTACAAGGGTGGCATGACTTGGCATGGGGTGGTAAACAAACTGCAAAGGGTTTACGGTACACAGTAGTGCTAAAATCAGTTTCATTGCGTATTATAAGAATATCAAGGAAGGGGAGGGAATTATTGGATTCAATTTCAAGAGTGAATTGGATGGCTGGATCAATTGAATTCATAATAGATAGAATCTCGGATATGTCCTCTTTATAACCGTAAAAAAGTGCGAAAAGTGTCGTCAACATACTAAATCCAAAGACGAAAAGATAGTTAATCAAATAATTTCATCTCAAAATAGTGCATATAAATGTCAGCAATTACCAGACTGAGAGGATTACCCATAGCCAATCCTTCAACTTGACGAAAATATGCATTTTGGAAAACAAAGTGGGTTTGACTTAAAGAGACCTTAGTAAACGAAACGAACTCATTAATTTCAGTATGTGTGAAGTGAAATTCCGAAGCCTAGTTTCAAGACAATTTAGTGCTCCTTTGACCGAAAAATTAGTAAACAGTGATTTGACATCGAATGAAACCATAATGGAACGAAGTGAAGAAATATTTTTAAGTTTATCAATGACTTCAACAGAATTTTTTACAGTGTGAATATTGTTAGCAAGTAATATTGTGAATATTATTAGTAAGTAGGAGAAAATCTGGAAACTAAATATTTGGCCAAAGGATATGAAGCAGTACCTATGTTGGAAACAATTGGTCGAAAAGGAATACCGTTTTTGTGGACTTTTGGAAGAGCATAAAGCCTAGCGCAATTAGTAATAGGTGGAATAAGGGATTTCTTCAACTGAGTTGGCAGAATATGGAAAGATGTGATAGCACTTTAACTTTCGTGAGGTCCGAAGTTGAAGGATCTTTAGGGATCGAGCAGTATGGGCCTTCATTTATCAGTTTAGAGACTCCAGTAGTATATGTGTGTTTGTCCATAACAACGATCTGTCCGCCCTTATCAGCTTTAGAGATAATGATATTAGTATCAGAATGAATGTCACATAAGATCTCATTTTCCTTTTTGCTAAGATTCAAACCCAAAGATTTGTTGTTAAAATTAACGTTATGAGTAATTAGGTGGCGGATTGTATCCTTCTGTGTTTCCGAAATTTTGGAGAAATCTCATTCATACATACTGAAATTAATGAGTTGGTTTCGCTTACTAAAGTCTCTCTGAGTTAAACCCACTTTATTTTCCAAAATGCATATTTTCGTCAAGTTGAAGGATTGGCTATGGGTAATTCTCTCAGTCCGGTACTTGCTGACATTTATATGCACTATTTTGAGATGAAATTATTTGATAAACTATCTTTTCGTCTTTGGATTCGGTATGTTGACGACACTTTCGCACTTTTTGACGGTTATAAAGAGGACATATCCGAGATTCTATCTATTATGAATTCAATTGATCCAGCCATCCAATTCACTCTTGAAATTGAATCCAATAATTCCCTCCCCTTCCTTGATATTCTTATAATCCGCAATAAAACTGATTTTAGCACTATTGTGTACCGTAAACCCTTTGCAGTTTGTTTACCACCCCATGCCAAGTCATGCCACCCTGGTAAGCAAGAAATAGCTTCTTTTTACTATTATATATTCTGTGCGCCTAAAGTTTGTTCCTCTGAATCTTTTTTTTATCAATGAACTTAATTATTTGAGAGCAGTTGCGATTGACCGTGGATTTTCTCCCGTGATTATTGATAAAGCCGTTAAAAAATTTTCAGATTCCCATCAAAGAAGACATTCCACTGTTAGAAATAATATTAATGACCTTGTTGTGCTTCCATTTTATACTTCTGTTAGCTATAAAATGGCACGGATTCTCCAGAAATTCAATTTTCGAGTCGGTTTCTCCCCTATTAATAAAATTCACCCTTCCATCCTAAAAGATTGCGTTTCTGTCTTGAATTCTTGGGGAATTTATAGTATATCGTGTCAGTGTGGTTTAAGATATATTGGCCAAACAAAAAGAGCGTTGAAGTTTCGTATCAAGAAACATGAATCTTATATCAGAAAAGGCGAAATTAACAAGTCTTCAATAGCGTATAATAGTTGGACATTTAACCATAATTTTGACTTTGGGTCTGCAAAAATTATCCAAAAGGCTTCTTCCATAGGTGAATTGGATTTTCTTGAGGGTTTTCATATTCACAAAGATTTAGCAGGGTTAGTTAATGATTTGACGTCCAATCCAGTCCTTCCTAATGCCTTTAAAATTCTACTATCTTAATTCAGTTATTTTTTGTCGATAGATGGCGTTACCTCCTCACGTTTGGTACTACCAGAGGGTATAAAAATCCGTTCAGTGGTTGCTTTCCATTATTCGAAGTTCAGATTTTACGCATGAAGGTGCAGTTGCCCCTCACTCCCTATTTTTATCTTCGCTAATTTTTCTTGTCCTTTGTGTTACATGTTTGATCAGATAGCCTGGCTCAGTAAAAGTAGGCGTCCAATGTAACTCTGATTAAAAATCCGGTTATAACCACGTGCAGTGCTGATAAGGACCACGTTCTTCTTTCTAGGTATTTCTTTCTCCTGATGAGGAGGGACCTTTAGCTGCCCTCGAAATCGATTGTTTCAATATACTTACGCTAAATACAAGGTTATTTTTACGATTTTGATCAAATTAGGCACTTTGTTTTGATTAAGATGCAAAATCAGATCTTTATTAAAATCTGTATGCAGTATTATATCCTGGAAGCTGATCAATAAAGTATAATGAATCTAATAGCAGATGCATCATTCATGCACCTTAGTACTCCTGTTATTCAAAATATAAGATTTTTTAATTTACCATCCATGCATTCTCTTGCATAGCTGCTTCTTGGAATAGGAATTCTTTTGCTAAATAGGATTTTTTAGAGATTCATTAAAAACAAATTTACTAACAAGTTTAAAGAAATATTTTATCTGATCTTTGTAAATTAAAATGTATTCAATGTATAATGTGTACAGCTAATAATTTTCTAAAGACCTTGCCTATGTAATTTTTTTTCTTTTGTATGTAAGCCACAGTTTTGAATTTTCATTTCATAATTTCATTCTGATCTTGGAAGAGATTCCAAATCGAGACATCACTTTATCATGGCTAGGAATTGGTAGATAACATATATTGCTGGCCAAGGCCTTGTGCACTTTATAGGTGACAGTACATACTGACAGTTTTAAATAAAATCTTTTACTTCTGCATTTGTTTTTTAACTAAATTTTTAAGCTTAGCATGTATGATGCATAAATAATATTGATTGATATTTTTAAGGAGCATTCAATGGAAATACTTTCATATTCATTTGTTACCAAGAAAATAACAATTGATGTGTATTATGCATATGGGAAGGAGACCATGTGTTGTAATAATGATGCACAGTTGCTAAAGAAATAAATATATTTGAACTCATTAAGTTAATTTCTGACAACTTAAATAACAGAACAAGCTCTCTTAAAGTTACATTTCATTCATTGAAAATTATTTTCCCATTAATTTTAAATGAAAATTAGGAATGCTGTGTATTACAGGAAAGATAATTGTAATCTGGAGCTTTAATTTCTTCAATAATTCAAGTAGATCTTGGAATTTCTAGTAACTGTCAGGTTCATTCTGTGCTTTGGAGAAAAATTTCAATTATATGTACTATATGTTTTTACTTTTGAAATACTCAAACCTGAAATGATTGATAGTATGGTTTTTGCCGCATTCCATCTTAAGTTTGGTCAAGAACACTGAGGGAACTGCTTTAAGAGTCCCATACCTCTCTTTCTCTATTACTGACCTATCAAAGGAAGTCTCGGCTTGATGTATTTTAATAATCTGTATGGCATAAAGATATTATATACTTACTTTCTCTGAGTTTCAAACACCCATACTTTCTCTGAGTTTCAAACCTAGGCCATATAACTGGGCAGCCAAAAAAGAACAGTGAAGAATTTGTTTAAATACAGTGGAACCTCGAGATGCGAGTTTAATTCGTTCCAGCATTGAGCTCATATAGCAAATTTCTCATATCTAGAAACAAATGTCTCCATTGAAAATAATGGAAATCCAGTTAATCCATTCCGCACCCCCAAAAATATCAACTGAAAAAATAATTTTTTCTGATAAATAACACTGGTAAATAATATAACCATAGTTTACCTTTATGATAGCTTCCGACACCGAATCACCTTTTAACTGCTTCTCATTAAATCCACACCAACAACAGCTTCTCAACATCTTCTAGGAGTTTTGAATGGTAACTCCTTTGGCTACATCAAGTTTCTTAATATCTTCCCGCTTCTTCAGAATAGTGCAAATCGTCAATGTCTAAAGACCAGTTCCATCACTCTTAGACTGCACTTGTTTACCTATGATTTATTTCTTAATTTCAGTGGCCATTGCTTCCTTATTTTTCTTTGCAGCACTATCTGAGGCAACAATCTTCTTGAGAGGCATCGTGAAATAATTCTTTTCACATTAAACTATTGACTCAGAAGCGCAAAAACACGTAGATAAAAGAACATCAAGTGATATGACGAGAGGATTCCAAGTTGATCGGGAAAGGGCACCATGCATACCAGCAGCCTGGTTGATTGCTCGTTACTTCATAATGCTCATATTGAAACACAGATTTTCGCTCATACTTTCCTCGTATCTCGAATTTCTCGTATATAGATGTGTTCGTATCTCGAGGTTCCACTGTATACCCATATCTGAAGGATTTGTGTTGTATAAATTCATCGGTGGTTGAGAAATTAGGATATCTAGTCATTAAAGCTTTCATCCCATCCTCCTTTCCTTGTGACAGGACCCTTATTCCATTGAATTGCCTGATTGACTATTCTGTTGACTTTCTTTAGTAATATAAATGTTTTTATTTTCCTTAAAAGTAACTAAGCTTATAAGTTTTTCAACAACTAATTAATTGATATTATAAATAGGTGAAAAGATTTGAGGTACTTCTCTTACTTAACATGCATAATAGCATTTGATCATATTCCGTACTTATTTTCCAATTTTCTTTTAGTCTATCAATTTTGAAAAGCAGCAAATAGTGCACCAATGGAAGCAAAGTTTATCTTCATTAGAAAAACAAGATCTTGTATTAGCAGAAATACAAGACTCAGCTAGGTATAATCTAAAATATTATTTTTTGATATTATAAATTCAATTTGTATCATATTTATTAGAGCATTTTTCTGTTTTTAAAGGGAATTTGAAGAAGAAATGAGAACACTTAATATGGATATCACTGCACATAAAAAATCTGTCAGGAAAGAGCTTGAACGAAATGAGCAATTGACCCTTCAGTTGCAGTTTAGAGAATCAGATATTGCTCATATTAGGAAGAACCTCAGTGATTCTCAAGAACGGGAAAATAACTTGCAAGAAAATATTGCAGTTGTTGCTGGAATTGTAGAAATAACTGAAAGAGAATTACAGTTTTTAAATGATGTGAGTAAGCTACTGATAATCAATGAGAAAACTTCAGGCAAAGATTATTGGAAGTAAAAGGACAATAATAAAATGATTTCTTAACAAATAAAATTCCTATATAATATATATTCTGTGAATTGTATGAAGATTTATGTACACTGCTCAAAACAGTTAAGAGATATTATGATTTTGAATTTAAACTGAGAATGAGGAAATGTTTTGATGGCTGATATATGATGTATAGTTGTTGTAAGATATATAGTTGCACAGTCGTAAGATATGAGAAAAGAAAAAGAAGCAAGGAATAGATAAATTATATTGGTAATATTTGTTGGTAAACAAAAAATGCACAATTTTTGCATATTATAGAAACGAACAAAAAATGGGATTTCTCGGATACAAACAAGTTTCAATAAGGGATATGTCTTCCTGTGACCGAAAGCAACATCGCACACCTATGAGGCATGGAATCAATGAGGTTATCGATGGAAAACTGGGGTATTCTCTCTTACCCCCATAGAAGAGAGCTTTCAAATTGCTGAATTGTTTTTGGGTCTAAAAGCGACTAGCAACCACTCTCTCTAGAATTTCCCAAACATGTTCTATCATCTGGGGAACATCCTATCCATTCCATTCGAAGGATTCCTTCATTGAAAGGAAACTGTTCAGTAGCTGAGCACAATGTGGCCTGACGTTATCATCCCTGACTGCTGCAGCATAAAAGACCACAGCAGGTCTGAGGATCTCACTTCTAAATTGCTGAGTGTTCCATTCCTGATAATGTACATGTCCATGTGGCCATTGATAGAAATACCAGCCCAGACCATCACTCCACCTCCGACAATTTGGGCACTTTCTTGCACAAATGCAGAAATATTCTGTGTACCAGATTCTTTTCAGGTGATGATCCACGTATTGCTAGGTTGTACACTAAAATGGGACTCAAAATCGATAGGAGGGACCTTTAGCTGCCCTCGAAATCGAGTGTTTTAATATATGTATGCTAAATACAAGGTTGTTATTGTGATTTTGATTGTCACATTGGTGTGTTTCTCTTCTATTATAAAGTGGGACTCGTTTGTGAAAAGCATGTTGCTCCACCCATCTCCATCTGAGATGTTCCCACCTTCTGCAGAGAGCATGGTGGTCCTGTGTTTACAAAACACAAACCATAGGTCTGCGAGCATACAAACCCACTTGGTGGAGGCGGTTTCAAACAATTTGAGTGGAAACTCTTGTACCAGTATCCCTCTGAAGGTACTGTTGCAAGAAAGTGGTGTTCATAGTATGGATTCTTCTGGCCATTAGTGTTAAATACTGACCCTCATTTTGTATTGTTGCATGTGTATGACTTTGTCTTGATCTTTAGTAAACATTGATTCCATAGTTTGGAAATGACACTTTAAGAAAATCCTAACACTTCCGCTACAAGGGATTGCATTTGACCTGCCTGTAAATACCGATAGCAATCCAGACTAACAATTCAGCTAAGTCATCCTCCTGAGACATCATATTCAGTGTTACAAAATATTTAACATACATGTCAATTTTTTTTAATCTCCTCCTAAAGAAGAAATGCTGCAGATAGCTTTTCAGCCCTTATCTAAAATGCAGAGTTTTCAATGTCGTAGACAAAATTTGCATGCTCGCAACTTTGTAAACATTATAATTTATAATTTCCTTTTTTTACCTCTTCTATTTCATTTTTATTTGAAAAGTATTTTATTATATGGTTATTTCATACTGAACTCACAATATCCCCTAATTGTTTTGAGCAGTGTATATTGCATTCTTTTTGAAAGGGTATTGCTTTTAAAAGATTTACATATTTGCATTATTTGGAAGTATTTTTAAAAAATTATTGACTTATGTAAGTGCTTCAAATGAAAACAAAAAAAAAAAAAGCTGTCTTTCCTAAAAAGTAATAAAAATAGAGAAAAGGGAAGTGTTTCAAATTTCTTAATATTTATGAAAACATTTTTATCTAAATTTTATCATGTGAAAATTTTTTGTATAAGCTATGAATCTAAAATGCATATTTTTTCATATAATTGCAAATATTTAAATTAATGTGGCATAAATGATATTGAAAGTTCAGTGTAAAAATAAATAAATAAACAAACAGACTGTGTTATAATGAACTTTGAAAGACTGCTTGCTATGTCATATCCGATGAAGGGAAAAATGGATCATCTTACAAAATAGTGTTGAAATTAGTTGATAAGTTACAAAAAATAGATTAATTAGCATTGTCACATCTCCCAAGGAAATAAATAATAATGCTCAGTTTAAAAAATCATAGTACAGGTTAATTACAAATTTTGTAATTATAAAATATGTTTATTATTCAGTTTTGCCATGCATTAATAATTTTACATTATAAGTTAATTAACATAAAAATCAGGTTCACAACTTTCCTTCCAATTGCACATCTCTATCTAAAATACAGACTTCAAATTAATATAATCCTTTTATCCATACAAGTATGAAAAAATTAAAAATGCATAACAAAAAATATTGATAAATTTACCTTTAACTTTTACTTCACATCACAAAAAAACAATCTGTAATTTTCTTCCGGTGTGATGTTTATACTAGTGCCTTTAATTTATAATTTTGTTGTATCTGGTTAGCCTGAAGAATTTTTATACATATATAAGTTTTAAAATGCTAAAAATATGTTATTAGTATTAAATTATAAATCTTAGCTCTCTTAATCCTTTTTGGGGAGTGAAAGGTGAATATCACAGAAGTGATATTCATTTTGAATAATGATGTATGTTATAAATTTCTTTTGTAACATAAACAGTTTAAGTGTGATATTTCTTTTTAAAAACACTGCTACTTGTTTTAATAAATTAGATGCATATTTTCCCTGTATACTTCTTTCATTTGCTTTACAATAATAAGTAAAATGAATTAAATTTTCAAAATGTGCTTAATTATTTCATTATATTTTGTATTAAATGCATTTAATTATTCAGTTTCTCATTCTTAATATAATAACCTAGGTCATTTTTTAACAAGGAAGTTCTTCCATTTTGTCAGCATAAGTTAGGGAGATTAATGGAATACTTCTATTGACCATGTTATATAACTATATATAAATGTTCGTTCTTATTTAACATTTGATGATTTTATGATATTCAGACTTATGCAGTCTGCTGAGTGTACGTTCAAAACATAAATTAAAGTGTTGTATGTTTTTATTTATTAATTTTTGAATTATGATTTAGTTTATTTGCACTTAGTTATTATTATTTATATTATGTTACTTATGTTTAATTATTTCACTTCATACATTTTAAAATGTTTAGGAAGTTATAAAACGTTCTAAAATTCTGAAATGCCTGTATTTTTAACATCAAATTAAGTACTGTTGCAATTTTTTATGTTAGTTACACCTGAACCTTTCTAATAAAAACTTCTGCATTTTTTCTATTTAAGAGTAAAATTATTAAAGAAAAAGAAGTAGATGCAAAGGATAAAAAAATCCAGAAGGCTTGCAGTTATCAGAAAAAGCTTGAAAAAAAACATATGGATATGTTACATGAAAAAATAACTATTACAAAAGCTTCAAAGTACACAAAAAAACTTATCCAAGATATAAGAAATTCTATTAGTATGAACGTAAGTAGTCTTTTTTAAATTTATAAAAATAACCTATAGGATTGTAATTTGTACTGCTCTTGTATTGCAAATTAGACAAATAAGTTTTCTATTTCATGTAAATGTAAATCTGTTATTTAGCTTTCACTTTCAAATTGGAACATTTAATTAATATTATAATTTTCATTCATAATGAAAGAATTGAAAATCATGTGTTCATTATCATTGGCATATTTCAAGAAGTGTATTCAATAGCCATTCTTCAGGGAAATCTGCTTTTATTTCTCTTTATCAAGCTGAGTTAATATTTTCTTGAGTGGATGAATAGTTACTGTTGTTTTAGCTTTCTGAAGTTCACCCCCCTAAATATTAAATGTAATGTTCTTAAAATACCGAATTTGACTAATTTTTTTTTTTAGAATTTCATCTGCTAATGTGTATATAAATCTCAAAAGTTAGTTAATAACATTTTAGAACATTGTGATGATTTTGGTTTTTAGATACTTTTTAAGATTATAAAATGTAACTGCTTTTATTTACAAAATATATTATAGAAGTTTAATCATTTATGCACCTTTACAATGACTATCCTCAATTGTTTTAGTAACATTTTATAACATACAAATAAAAACTAAAAAATCAAAGAATAAAATAAATTTTGATTTCATTAAGTTGTTTTACTGATGTCATTCTAATGTACAGTTAAAAAAAAATGAATAACTGCTTTTTTGAGTATAGCAGCTTTAAATATTTGTATATTTTTTTAACCTATTGAAATACTAGGAAGACAAAGGCTCTAGAAAGGAAAGGGAAAGAGAAAAACTGCTTCTAAAGGTTGATGATTTGCGTACTTATATAAATAACTTACAAGCTAATATGGATGAAGAGAATAAAGAACGAGCTGAAAAAGAAGCTCTGTTGAGTAAAACAGAAGCAGATGTTTTGAAAAAGCGTGAAAAAATGGATATAAAACGTGGAGAGTACAAAGCTCTTGAACTTCAGTTGAATGAAATGATTAGTGAAGCAGGGGTGAGTTCCTTATTTGTACCTTAATCTAAACACAGTTTCCCAATGTGATTACTATAGCACACTGAAAAAAATTAAGGGGGCTTTACTGGAACAAGGAAAGTATAAAGAGTATTCAAAAGCAAATGAACATTAAGAACACATTTGGAAAATCTGGTTGCATAAACACTTTTGACATTTAAACATTCATTTGCTTATACAAGCATTACAGTAATACATCATAGCTAAAATTATACCTATCTTGTCAGTCAATGTTTCATACATATTGGTCCATGTGATATGTAGCTTCATTTTTTGAATTCCAAAGAAATGCACATACTTTTTTTTATGTGTTATGAATATCAGTTTAAAAAAATATGCAAACTATTGGTCTAAAGTTCTAAAAACATAACTACAGGATTTGTACATACAGTCATATCCAGTTTACACATATAGTAGTATGCCACTTCATATATTATGGCAGAAATTTTGTGTTTTTTTAGGTTTCTAGTATACAATTTTTTAAAGGTCTTCAATCATTAAGATATTGTTTTCATACTGTGTGATGAGTTTTAATTAATAATTTCTTACAAGTTTAATAAATCCTAAAAATTTCAGAGCATATTTGCTTATTGCCTACAGAGCACTTCTCAAAAACATTAAATATAGTATTTTTGCAATAATAGGAAGGTATGGAATAAATTCAAAGGAGATACTGAACAAAAAATTCTGGAAAGGTCAATGAGCCAAAAAAGGTTGGAAAGTTATTATAAGCTAAAACTTAAATATTTTATTTTATAGATCAATATTGTATTTGTTTATTGGATTTCTTGATTATACCTTTCTATATCTAGGTTGTAATTTCCTAAAATATGTGTTGAAAGTGTATCTGATAGTTTCTTCAAATAGGCCAGATATACTTCCAACACTTTTAATTCTATCTTATGTTTACTATTCATTATCAGTGTGTTCTGCTGTATTAGTTAATTGAACATTTTTATCAGATAAATTTTAGATTAATTTGAGTATTAAAAGCATTCAGTAAAAAAGTACTTAATGATAATTATTGTGAAGTATAATTTTTACTTTTGTACAGTTTTCTCAGTTGGAAAGAAAATTAATTAGAGAATGAGAATGGGAACATACCGTGACTGTTAAAACCAATACATAAAAAATTATCAAATTTCTAATTTAGTTGTAGATATTAAATTACTAATCATTAATTTTAATTTTTATGCTGCTTTTAGACTCAGTTTGCATTCAAATAAAATATTCTTGTAAAACTTCTGTTTAATTAGAGATACAACAGTAATTAACTCTTTTGTAGTCTACTCTTTCCTATATTTTTAATTACCTTTACATTTAATAAATATCCTTATTAAGTTTTAGTTTTACTATTGTGAATCATCATACAGAATATTATATTGCAGTTTTCTGTGTTTGGATGAAAATTTTGTAGACAATTATAAAATGAAATTTTGTAATTATATTTAATGAAATTTTAAGTTAATCTAACTTACTTTTGTTAGTTTTCATGTATATTTTTAATCCCTGAAATAATATGCAAAGTAAAACATGTAACTTTCAAATATTTATTTCACTTCCTAGTGTATTCATAAAACTTACGTCTACTACAGTCATCAAATTCTTGTTTTTCCTCTCTAGAATATAAGGGGTTTTTCCCCCCTTTTTAATCCTGTCCATTTGCTTGTTATTAGTGTGACTAGAATTCTTTGCTACAGTTGTATCTTAAAAGTCAAAATTACATTTCTATAAAATCTTTGAAAAATGTTTCTGTTTATTTTTAATTTGTTATTAAAGAATATTATATGTTTCTTCTCACTTGTTACTAGTTTAGAGCATGCCTCAAATTTCTTATAACAAGCATCCGATTAACTAAATGTGATATCAAATAAACATTATCTGTGAATCTGTAATAATCTGTAAATTTGTAAGTTTATTTTATTTTATTTTATTTTTATTATTATTTCTGCAAGCCTTGTGTACTATGTGGCACACAAGGAATTTAAAATTTTCAATTAGAAAAAATAAATAAATAAACATTATCTGATAAATGCAAAAACAGATTAATTTTACAGAATACAAGAAATTATGTTATAAATTTAATAGAACTTAATGCACTTGAGTTAACTTTAGTTTGGATGTTGAGTTGTTTATCTTAAGAAGCTAATAAACTGAAAGAAATGCAGTGTTGTTTGTTATTAAAATTCAAGCTTATGGTTTTGTTTTTTGATTAGTTCTTTAAAAAAGATGCAAATTTCAGTAATTTATAGTAACAAGGAAAAAAGTAATTAAATTGGTTACTGAAGAGTTTTCAGAGTTTGAGATATTGATGATAAACTAAATTAGGTACTTTCTGATTATTTACAATTCCATAATTTGTCCAGCTTATTGGCAAAAAACTTATTATTATTATTGGATATTTTTGTGATTTATAGGTAATCATCTGTTCATATATAAATAATAATGAAAAGAACTTTTTTTTTATTGAGAAAGAAGACATTTTATAAGAAAAACTAAACAAAAATTTTTAACATTTTTGCTTTATATATTTATGTTTTTATAATCGATAGGCATTGATCAATAAAAGGAAAGTAAGTGTACAAATCCTGGTATAGTGAAACGTGTGGTATTGATTACGTAGTAATAACGTAGATTGGCTATTGTCACATGTATATACAAACATGTCCCCAAAACACAGTAATTCTACTTCTATGCTAAAGCCAAAGGTGCATATTATTAGAAAGTGCCCTAAGTTATAACATTTTATCTCATTAGGGTCAGGAACTGGCACCTTTTGAAAGAGAAATAGCTAATCTGAAGAAAGAAATTATTGTAGCTGAGCAAGGTAAGAGAAATATGGAACAAGAATATTTACGTTTCCAACGAGAATTATTTTCTTTAAGCAAGCAGAGTGCTGTTCGATCAGAAGAGAATGATTTATATAACAGGAAGATTGCTTTAATGGAAGGAAAAAAGATACAGTTGGAAGGTAAATTGATATTTCTATCTTAAAATCATTTCTATCAAAAAAAAAAAAAAAAAAAAAAAAAAAAACCTTTTAGAGTATACATTAAGTGTTTATTTAATTTTCAAATGTATGCATTTTTAAATTATTGTTATTGTTTATTAAAGCTGTATTTTTTATCATTAGTGTTAGCAATTTAAAACATATATCTCAGGTAATTAAAAAGTAATGTGTTCCGCTTTGTGATAAGCTGTACAAAGTGCTCCTAGGGCCAAAATTTTTTGCTATTCCAGGTTTCTATCAAAATCTAAAATAGTCATCCTTTTGCATTAGATGCTGAATCAAAATTTAGGTTCAGAAACAGATTTCTGTAAAATGCTAAAGTATTTTCCATTTTTCAAAACAGAGATTTTAACATAAAATTTCTTCAAGAGCAGAATTTTATGGGATTTGCATACTTTATATGCCAGGCTATGTAAGTAAGCTTGTATCTGAAAAACTCATTCAAATTTAGCATCAAAATGAAGGGTGGAGGCTTAAAAAATTTTACATGGAATAGAAGTAGTCCTACAGCAATGTGAGCAGGAGGTAAATGTTTAACTTGTGGCTAATGTGTAAAAAAAATTGCTATTCAATTCAAGCAATGTTATTTTGTCCACTTATATATTTGCATGTTAAACGTGATCATTTTATGTAATTTTGAAACTTTGGAAAGAGTCATATTCAGCTAAAAATCACATGTATTTTGTAACTTAAATTATTTTTTTTAATTATTAGCATAGTGCAGTTGATTCTAAACATACATAGGTTCTTTGCTTCATTACCATCATATTATGCCTCAAGAATCAGTAAATAAATGGTGATACATATGTGATGTAAAAATTAATAGATCTGAAATTTCATTTCACTGTTCATAATATCTTCACTATTCTTTGCTATATCCATTTGATCAATCACATTCAAATGCATTTTATAACAATAATGCAGTTTTTTAAATCAATTATCGAACGTGTTTGAAGTTACTTTGTTCAATAAATATATTCATAGGCTCAATGTTTTTTGACTTTCATTGGCAACTCCATCTCTAAATCATTTATACTGTGCCTTTATTTATACTGCACTCAATTTTGTTAGATGCAAAATCCATTGTATTAGGGCTGTAAATCTGAATTGTAGGGTAACTAAATCACCTATATATATAATATTTCACCAAAAAAATCAGCATGAGATAAGTTAAAATTAGTGTCTGCATTGTTGTGATGAAGCTGCTGATCATCATTCCAGAGGTGTGACCAACCTTTATCATATTTCATCTCTCAACCTTCAATAGAAGTAATTTGGTTCATTGGTTGCAAGGGCAACATAATGTTCCTTCTACGGTAACCCTGAAAGAAATTTTGCCACAACATGTTTCATGCCAAGAAGTTCAATAAAAATTTCAAACACTCTAATTTTTGGAATTTTCAACTATCTTCTAGTTCTCAAACTGTCAACTGCCAATCCTTGTTGATTGCTGCCTGTACACATTCAACATTTTCCAGTATTCTGTACATTTCTGGTCTTTCAGAATGTGGATTACGTTCAACAAATTCCCACCCATCTCTGAATCATTTATACTGTGCAATTATTTATGTTGTTTTCATCGCATTATTCTTCAATCATCTAAATAATTTCTGTAGATAAATATTCAAATTTCATGCAAAGTTTGATCCACATTGTTCTCTATTACTCGGTCATTGCAGATGCGATGATCATCCACCATGAACACCTAGCTGATGTAGCCAATAAAGTTGCCCATATTTATGGACATACATTAATCCATTCTCAACAGGTTATACAATAATCATTCAAAGTTATTTTATGTTAACATTAGCTTAATAATTGTAAGACAGACAATTTTTTTTAAATACATGTTAAGAATTATTAGAGGTCATAATTCAGTTTTTCTAAAAAACAGACACAGACAAATATTTATGATTTTGTCTTAGTGCTAGCAATATTTAATGTATACAACATTTTCCTTTCAGAAAGAACTGAAAATGTAAATTTCTTCAAAATTCAAACTGTAATTTTTAATCACATTTATTGATAAATTTTTCTCCTTTTCTGTAGTAAATAGTTTGTTAGTGTGGATATGATGTTCTTATTTAACATTTATTAAAAATAATTATAAAAGCATTAAAATTTTATTGTTTGTACCCTATTTAACTCTCATAAAAATATTGCTGAACTTGTGTGTTATCATTTTTTTTTTTTTTTTTTTTTTTTTTTTTTTTTTTTTTAGCAGTTTGAGCATAACCAATTTTTATTTTATTCTGCAACAAATTTTCTTCATTTGGGGAATTAAGTATTATATGCAATTTACATTCTTTTTCACGAGTTATTTTACATGTTAATTGATTTATTTCACATTCTTCAATATATTTTACTTTTCAATTAATAAGCAAAATTAATGTTCAAAGTAATCACCTAGCTTCTCAGTTTCCATTTTATTTATATCATATTTCTATTATATTCACACATATATTTTTAAGCAAATACTTAATGCATATGGTTTTATTTTTACACATCTGAGCAGCTGTAAAGTGTTATTGAAAATATACTGATTTCTGTGTATTGTTGCAGAAAATTAATAATTTGATATAGTGCTAATGTACATGTAACAAATGCTAATACTGAAATAGAAAAGAGTGATGTGCCAAACAATTATTGCTGAGTAATCCTTTAGCTTTAGATCCTTTATAGTATCATATTAATTAATTTCCAGAATCAGATGTACTCAGTTAAGCAATGTTGGTATTATTATTCCTTGTTTGCTTAAATATCATTTACCTAAAAAAAATTTTATTCTAGCAGTTTTACCAAAAATTTATTTAAAATTCAAAATTGTATCATTTTTATAATGAAATATTGTAAAATATTTTTTGAATAAGCATCTGTTCTATTGCAATGCCATAATAGAATTTACTGGTTCTTATTTGTTTAATGAAAAGTTTTAAATTTTTGAATAAGCTGATATAACAAAAGAAGAGAAAGAAATAAAGGACACAGAGAATAGAATGCAATGCCTCGAAAATGACATTATTCGTATCAACAGGCTATTAAGTGAGAGAACAGAACTCCAAGAACATTTGCAACAGACATCTGAACTGAGTAAAAGTGATTTCATCAATGTTTTAAAGGTGAATATTAGGGAAATATCAAATAATATCTTAAAATGTAGTCTCTATAAATTTGTTGTTTTTTAAAAATGAGATTCGAAATAGAATACCAATAATCCATATATTTTATGTGTAAAGGCTGTGTAGATTAGAGAACTATATGGATTATAGGTCATATTTTCCCTATTTTTGTTTAAAATTTTCTCTTTCTAATTTTTTGCATTAAATTTGGATTATAATTGCACATAAAATAATTAACCAAAACTTACCTGAAGAATTATTTAATCAGGTTTATTGAATATAAAATTATTACATGTTTATATTCAATAAACCTAATTAAATACATCTCATATTATTTTCAGTGCATTTATAAGCACTGAAAATAATATGAATAAAAATGAGAGAAATACAGTAGAAGGAAAAAAGCATGAAGTGGGTTTTTTGGTGTGCGTGTGTGTGTGCATTTTTCTAAAAAAGTTTACATTATTTATATAAAAAAAATTAATGCTAAATATATTATTTTGAATTTTCTAAAAATCAAAATCTAGTTCTAAAAATCAAGGTCTAGATCTTTACATCCAAAAATTAACATGGATTACAAGCAGTTTCAGATTATTAGAATTATGCTACATTTAAAGTTTTGTTTTATAGTTACTATAGAAATCTATTATAGAACTTTCTATTCTTATTTTAGTTATGTTTTATAATATTTTTGTTTATTTATTGTTCATTTGAAAGACTAGTTAACTTACTTTTCTCCTTTCGATTATTGGGAACTGCAATATTTTTTAAGAGATATTAATCTATTTTACATAAATTAATTTTCTAGATGTCAGTGAATTGTTAATAGTAAAAATTGATTAAGTAATTTCTGTCCGATGTAACTTATGCATATTCCCTGACTTGCAGGCGCATATGATGCTGATTTCGACACATTGTGTATCCAAGTTTGTAATTCTAGTTGTAGGTCTGCAAAACTGTAAAAATTTATATCAGTTCAAAAATAGTATTTTTGCGTTAAAAACATATCTTGAAATAGAAAAAGGTGGTATTGTATTATTTGAAATTAATAATGATAAAATAATAATGTTTAAGTTATTTTTACGAATTTTCCTTCTCTGTCTTGGGTTTTTGTTATGCAGTGAGTAATGTATATGTTGGATAAGTTAACATTTTAGTGAACTTTTTTTTAATTTATTTTCATTTTATCTGCTATAGGTGAAAAAATTAGTTCCTTTCCATTTTTAAATTTTCCACTGTTTCTTTCTTTCTTTCTTTTTTTTTTTTTTTTTTTTTTTTATTCCCTAACATGCTTACTTACTAGATCATGCTGATACGTATGTAATAAAGTAGCTGCTAGTGCAGTTAACCACTCAAAAAAATTTAGTATTATAAAAAAGAAAAATATGTAATGGTTTTAATGAGTCCACCTAATGTAATTTCTTGAGTCTAGTTAGTAATTAGTTATAACAGTGGTGAAGAACTGAGTTTATTGCTTTTAAATTGCTTAGTCTGTTAATCAGTAAGAGATGGATTAAATTTGAAAGAAAAGTTAAACATCATATACTTTGTCAAACAGTAACACAGGGAAGATATGTATGTTTTATTTTGGGCAGTAGCTACACATTTGATTTAAATCTCTGAGTTTGTTGATTAAATTTAAAAAACAAATATCTTACAAGTTTTTTAATTAAAAATTCATTAAATTAACAAAAAACGTTTGATTTAAATGAAAACCTTTTTTCTAAATTTAGACTTTATAATACATATATTTGGATGGAGTTGACTACATGTATTCAAAATTTTGGTGGCTGTGGTGCGTCCGAATGTACATACATTCAGATTCTTTATTATTTAATAATAGAGAAGACAAGTCCTGGTTATTTTGTGTCATATGCTTGCCAAGAGCCTGAATAAATAGCCAGTCTGTCTTATATCTGGTTGACTACTTTTGCCATGATTATAGTTACTTTTCTATTTGGAGCCAGAGTGGAAAGGTTTTATCAATTTTTCAGCATCACCAATAACCAAGTATTGTAGAACTCTGCCAGCTTTATTTTTCCTTCACATGAACACATTTTATGTCCATTTGAAGACTGCCTATTCACTTATTTGGTTGTCAGATGAGAGGCAGAGAATATATATCTCCCTCATAAAGTTGTTCTAGTCAACAGCTATATTTTCTAAAGCTGAGTGGTTTCTTCCATCACTTAATCAAGGTCAGTTTCTCTGCCCACCAGTAAATAAACTGCTGTGCTGTTACAAAGAGCATTCTAACACAAATGAACTAGTTATCAGAGCATATACTTTCCTTTACTTGCAACTTTTTATGTTACATTCCAAATGCTTTATGTGATTGTATGTTTTTACACTATTCTTAACGTCCCTAAACTATTAAAATAATAGTAAAGTTATCAGGTTCAGTGTTCCGTCTTACTGGGAACATGTAAGGACCTGACTCGGAACAGAGAGCTTACTAAAGCTATGTTCAATAACTGTGGGAAGTAGACAGGATACACAAGAAGGGTATACAAAACCCTTTATTTTTCTCTCTTTACAATAATTTCCATACTTCGGAATACAAAAGACCCACTACTTCTGGTCTAAACGTAAAAATATAAAAATAAAACTAAACTCTTAACTTTGAAATAATAAACGTGGAAGATTGGCCTTATATTAACAAGAAGCCGTATGTAGTACAGAGAACTGTGAACACTACAATACGTTTAAAGTTATCAAGAGGATTAAACCTCTGGCCTGGAAGGCAACCAGCAACTGAGTAAAACTTCTAAGGTAAGCGGCCTGCTTCGACTAACTCCTTCCTCTCTCTCGCTTGGCAAAAAGCCACAACTTAAGTACTTGGCGTTCGCCAGACAAATTTTGCATAAATAAGTTAACGCTTTTAATTCTGGCCGGAAGTAGAAAATAAGAAGTGATAGTAAAGATTTAAAATAAAATAAACGTTAGTAAAACTTAAGATCCTTACATACTTCCCGCCAGAGTTAATTAATTTGAAACTGAGGTCTAAAACGACCTTGTTGAAAACTTTTAGCTCTAGAATCTAACGCGAGACCAATCTTTTACAAAGATTTCTCACTAGAAACTAGAAATTTAAAAAAAAAGAAAAAAAAAATTTGTTTTTACAATAGCAGCTCCAAGGACACGCAATTTTTTCATCTGTACTACTGCATCTAAACAGGAGCTTTTATTCAAATCTGGTTCCTTCCAGAGATCTGGAAGGAAAACTAGTTTAATGAAATGTTACACAATGAAATGGCAAGTAACATGCATATTTATATTTCTCTTAACATTCTTATTTCATTCATGACTATTTAAATTATCTCTCCCCGTGCTCTCTGACATGTGTTGTAAAAGAACACCAAACACGAATGTGTTTATGTATACGTGTTCAACACTTCCTCCTACAATCAAAACACTAACGTGTTAAAATTCAACATACCAAGACCTCGTAACACACCCCTAACTTCAACTCTAAACCCTGAGGTACTATTCTGAAAGTGGCTAACTCTGAAGTGTAGCGTCAGAGAGCCTAACTACATTCATTCAACCTTTAACACATATTCACCATGATTTGGTCTTTTTTACAGTCACACGAATAAAAAATTTTTTTTAACATTACTTTCACTTTTACCATATCACGGTATTTCTTAACATTTAAAATAACAGTTCACATTGTATATAAGAACATATTAACATGCCGTTAATTTTACGCATTTGAAAACATACATTAGTAGTACATTGTTAACTTCTATTCTTTTCAAAGCAAGTGCCAATTCTTTCTACATTGAAATACTACACATTTCAAAAAGTCTTTCAGACTAAAACTTCTTTCTTGCCAGAATGTTTTAAATAAAATTTATACAATAACTTTTACAATATTTAAGTATTTACATATTCCTATTATACATCAACTTTAGTTTTACGCGCGAGTAATTGAAAAACATAATACCAAAAATCGGTAACAACTCATTTCTCGCCCTTTTGGCGATAAAGGTAGACCTCGCATGAGGTAAAACTTCTTCTTGAAATCTGCCACTTGCAGTAAGAATGAAAGATTAACTTAAGTTTGCAAAGTAACATAAAATTTTACTTATCTTTGTGATATTCGGACATTCTTTTCTGAGCCCAGTCCTGGAAGGTAGCGTAGATTCTCGTTTGATTTATCCTCCTTCGTTGTGCGGGCTCGCCCTTCAGTGCCTTCCTCTAGAAGCTTTCTTTTTTCTCCAGTACGGTCACCCTTGAATACCTTCTTTTTTTCGCCTCTCTGCCTGTGGTCTTGGCCGTTTGATGGCAGCTGGTCTTGGCGGAACCGGGAAACTTCTTTCGCGTTCCTGCTTGGACCTCGTTGCTGGCCGTTCAAATTTTCCTTGTAACTTTTCCTCCGCCGCTGGTGGCCCTTCCGCAGTTCGGCGACATTTGCTGCGGAGAGTCCTGTCGGATGAGTAGATCTTCCGTTTTAGAGCCGGTTATAGTTGCCGTCATTTCTCCTGGCTCTCTTTGCATACGTCGTCCTTCTCCCTTCTTCATTCTGGGGGTGTTCGTGAGCTCTCTTTTCTGGACGGTGGAACGGCTTCTTTTTCTTGTTACCTTCAATTTTCCCGCGGGGAAACTTTCTTTTCACTTGCTCCTGCCTCTTAATGGCTTGCCCTTGTACTTGTCGTTGTTCCACCTCTGGAGCTTGTGTCTGCCGTGCCGGATCCTGCAAAAGATCTGTAAATATTTGCATTTTATTACGATCATAGTAGGGTTTGATTTGATCAATGTTTGCGGAGCAGGTTTCACCATTCCTGGCTTTTAACACTACTACAGCGTGAGTTATTTTTTCTATGACATATGGTCCTTCAAATCGTGGAAAAAATTTGGCAGTTTTATCTTCTGGTGCTGAAGAAAGTGAATGCTTAATTTTTAACACTTCATCCCCTACTTTATAAGTTACTCCCCGTCGTTTCAAGTCATAATACAGCTTTTGTTTTCTCTGTGCTACTTCAGTATTCTTTTTTGCTTCTTTAATTAGTTTTCTATATCTATTAGGTTTTT